TTGTAGTTTGTAGATTAAAAAACGCTTTTATACCAATGCTTTAATAGTAAGTAGAAAAGTGGCAGCACCAAACAAACCCGATATGAGAAACCTGCACACAAGACAAACAACACAGACATTGTAAGAGAAATAAACAATACATATGAAGAGCCCTGGGGAAGAACGATCTAAATCACTTTTTCAACGAACCCCAGTTAATGGCGCCATCTGGTAGCAAATTGTATAGGTTTTCTGTGGAACAATCAATTTCAGATAAAAACGATCGGAGTCACATCTAACCAAGGCCCTTCTGAAATGGCCTCCCAGACAAATACGTCCATCGTACCCTTTATTTTACCTTAATTTGACTGAAAAGTGGAAGTCGGTTGTTGTACTGGTAATTATGATCCGTATTAAACATCATTTTGAAGTTGTAATTAAACGCACTCGTTGTTCTGTTCACGTCAAGCATTCTCGTCCAAAAGTCTGTTTTGCCTTTTATGCGAAAAGACAAAAATGTGAATTAGATCGTTTTCCCCTGGACTCTTCATATCAAATCAAGTGCGTTGTACAGTCTCGGGCCTGTTGTATGCTTAAAGAGGCTAAATCGCTAACTTAATATTTTCCCTGATATTACAAATTAAAAATATGAATTAGAATTTAATATTGGTTCATTTCAATCAAAATTGATGTTGCTATTATCCCGTGAAAATTTGAGATCCTAATATCCAGTATTTAAGACACAGTGAACATTTTAAAATCAGTACACGAGTTGTTACTTTGTAGTTGCGGGTGCCATTTGTAATCAACAAAGAAAAACATATCATATGCTGAAGTAATTAGTAATGGCTGATTCACTCAACAAGATGATAATTTTAAAAAAAAGGTCTAGAATGGCTACACGGGCGTAAACGACTTTCGTTCAAATTGGATAGTTCGTGTATTTCACTGAACATAATTGACTAGAAATTACAATAAATATTTTTAAAATCACTTTATATACATTCATATTACATTAATATGTGCTCTTAGACCCATTTAAGATTCCGACGAATAGAGCCATACGCCCTTTAAATCAAAATGAAAGACAAAACTCTTATTTACAAGAAAGAAGTAATAGAAACAACGCGACCGGTTTAGAAGAACTCGAGAAGAACAGAACTGACATTAAGTTTGGCTTCGGTTTGTATGGGTTACAATAATTATATTTTCATGATCGTAAATGTAATGAAATGGGGTTTAATGTCCACTGAGTTATGAATACGGGCCATGTTCATAATCGGTGATTGGGTAACTTTTAACGATGATAATCTTAACTTATCCGTGGCAGCAATATGGTGGCTTTTCTGAAAGCTGACTTGTTAATTCCCCGCCGCCGTTTCGTATCCACCCTTAAGTCATGTATAAGTACCAGGTACATATTGGACGATAGATAGGGTGTTGTTTGGAGGAAGGCTTGTCTTGATTTGTCTTATCAGCAGTTGTAACAAACCCACCGAGACATCAAAGACGACTTTATTAATATTGTGAAATTTTGACAAAGGCGGGTCGGTTTTCCGTGATGCCGTGGACAAATATATCTAATAGGTTTACCGACTACTGTTTGCGGTAAACGTCAAGTCGTACGATTTTATATGAACTTGAAGATAATGACGATTAAGGCGATATACGTCAGGAATTTTTCCGATATCAAAAATATTAATGGAATTTCTTTGTAGATACCAATTGATAAAATGAACATATACAAACACCATACTCACTATATATTTGTTTTGTTTAAGTCTCGGTTTTTCTATATATAAGGGGTTGTGGAAGAGGGCGGGGTGGGGGTCACGGTGGCTAAGTGGGTGAGACGCTGGCTCGATAGCCTGGACGGTGTTCGATCCCTGCATTGACCGAGAAAGTTCATCAAAATTTTCCGTTGTTCCCCCACCACCCCTTGTCAGTGATGCAGGACGGAGGGCCTGACAAGGACAGCTGTCTAGTCATTCGGATGGGGCGAACAACAGAGGTCTCGTGTACAAATTGACGTGCACGTAAAAGATACCTTGACAGTTGGAATTCGATATAAGAGTGGGCCGTGGTGACGTTGTTCGGGCAAAATTTCCCTCATAGCACACTGTATGGCGTATGCCCGTCTTCATTAGCCAAGTTCGGAGCAGAACTTCATTTGCTAACCTTCATAATTTATTTTCATGGAGTTCGTCAGGACGGGATTAACCATTAAGCAAAATGGAAAGGGGCGAGGGGCACCACAGAATTTCTGCTTTGTTAGATGACGAATTCAAAATATTTGATTTAAAGATTCAGAACTTTTAGTTAGTTTTTCAGTGTTTTTTTGTCATTTTTTACTGTTACCTTCTTTGTCTCAGTATATAATGACGTGCATAAAATCCCCAGAAAAACTTTAACCACGTGCTTGACGGGTTGTTTATGGTTTATTATTGTTTACATTTTGAATTGTATACTATATGGGGCACCAAAATCTTCTAATTGCTTAAGGCCTCCATAGGTCTTATAGGTCTCGGGTGTTGGCCCTCGTCCACCTGTTGGCTGATAACTACAATCATATATGGTTACATATGGTGTCGTAATGAGTAAGACGTTGACTCAATGGCCTGGGGTTTCCGGATTCCATCCAGGTGTTGACCGCGCCACTTGACTCTATGACAGACATTATGAGCTAAATTGCTCTACCAACCCATCCAACCTGAAATGAAATTCAAAATCACAATAAACGAGAGAGAAAACTCAGCTATGAATACAAGAAAGACGTGATAGAAATATGCGGTCGGGCCTGGTGGTGGTCGTCTGTCGGATGACACTCCTTGATGGCGATAGCCTGCCAATTGACGTCATACGCTAGAACTTCATAAAAGTTAAAAACAATAAAGACGATAATCCGGATAGAATTTCGGAAAACGTTAAAATGGTAAAAATTAACAATTTAGGAAACAAAAATGTATACATTAAAAACAATAATGTGTAGTGAGTAAACAGTAGCATAGACAGAGAGAGAGAGAGAGAGAGAGAGAGAGAGAGAGAGAGAGAGAGAAATGGGGTTTAACGTCCATTTCGGGAGTAACAAATGGTTTAATTTTATTTCAATAATTCGCTTGCGCATAGGGGTCTTTAGCAGTGGGAGGAAACCGGAGGAACCGGAGAAAACCCACGCGGTTGGACAGGCGACCCTACTCCTTGTCACGTACAACCGGGAATTCGAAACCACGCCAGTCGACACAATGACAGACTTTATGATACAGCGCGCGCACGCTAACCATTCAGCCATCCAACCCCGCCAGTAGCATAGACCAATGGTACTTGTTTCTTTTGCTTTGGCATAAATACCATTCACGACGACGGGGTTTCGAAATATCTGTGTGGTGCTCTTGTCATCTTTCGTCTTTCGTGAAAATGCCACTTTGTTAGTCTCAGATGAGCGGGAATAGAGAAAGAAATAGGGTTTAACGTCCATTCGACACAAACTAGATCATTTCGGTACTAACACATCGTTCGGAGAAAACCCACGAGGTTGGACGGGCGACCCTACTCCTTGTCACGTACAACCGAGGAATCGAAACCACACCGGTTGACTCAATGACAGACCTTATGATACAGCGCGCACGCGCTAAACATTCGGCCACCCCCCCACCCTCCCCCGGCCACAGTCTCAAAAGAATCAGCACTAGGAATAATAGCTATTATATAGAAGTAGACCAATCTTAACAATAAGTGAGGAAAGTCCAACATTTTCCCAAAATGGAACCAGGTGTTTCGAAACGGGTACACATGCACTGTCATGACAACCAAGTAAAACTTTCTTTTCAATTGCAGACAAAATGGGCCTGGGTCCTTACAAGGAAAAAAATGGCGGTAAAAGTGTGGTGATATATTTGAGTTTAATGCACGGATATGGTGACGGTATTAGCCTTCTAGTTTATTGTCAATACAATCTCTATCATGTCAGTCTGTTTTAATATCTTCCATATAATAAATATACCACACAGTTATTAAAACCCTTATCTTAAACATACAGCCATTAATATCGAACGTCACGTGATCCATTACAACCAATCACATGGCTAGAAATGTGACAGGTACTTGTCGCCGTCATTATTGAGATATTGACCACGTGATAATGTTGACCAATCATTGATTAGTATATTTGACAGGTAATTGTGTCATATTATTGGGGTATAATGCCTACGTTTATTAGTCACCCGTGTTCAGGCTTTGTTCTAACACCTGTTAATTGTTTAAGTATACGGAGCTTTTATTTACCTGTGTGTCTAATTACCTATGATCAGCAGTTAATCAAGGATATACTCAGGTGTAAATTACAGTGATTTCGTGGTACCAGTCTTCCAGATATCAGATATCAGGATGGTCTTTAAAATTGAACAAAATATCAAATGAATATTCAATGTATGTCGTCAGTGTCAGGATTCAAGGCGGAAGTTCAGGAGTTTTTGGTTTTTCTTTATAAACGGACGAAATATTCTGGTTGTCAAAACAAGTAGCATGTGTATGTTAAGATAATTTTTAAAAATCTGACAAGAAAACAAATTTTAATAAATTTAATGTCAGATCTTTTCGTTCCGTAGTGTTGTAGACAGCGTATACACACGCCGTCTTTTCATGTGAAATATGTTGAAAGGGTATAACAAATAACTCCTTTACACCTTTCCAAATTAAGAAATTATTTGACGACGGTCAATGAGACTCAACGTTCTTTGCTGTAACAATTGGAATTTTAAACTGATTTTAAATTCACTAACGGTGTATGAAATCAAACGAACCACAAAAAAACAAACATAAGAAGAATCCGAAAGAAATTCCGCGGTACTCTCAAAATATTTCGGAATTAATAAACAGAAGACGGACATATTGGAGATGAATTAGATTTACATCAATTACTCGGATATAATTCTTCTAGACATTTGCGAATTTATGTTCTAAAATACCTGAATTTAAATAAATGAAATGAACTTGCTATTAATTAGCTTATAGCGAGTGTCATAATGCCTACCCAGGGCAAAAGAATCTGCCGTGAAGGTACTATGGAAACTGAGCACGAGACGTCAGCTGATGCCATATCCGATCTGTTACCGAGAAAACACAAATCAAAATTAAAACCAGGTAATATTTTTATTATTAATTCTAACCCAATTTCCATTATATTGGGCGGGGGCGGCCGCTGCTCATTGGGTAACATGTTGGCTCCCTAACCAACCTGGAGGTCCTGTTTTCGATCCCTTGTCAGTTGTGTAGGACAAAGGGCCAGAACGTATAGTCTTTCGTATGGGACAAAAAACCGAGGTGCCGTTTACATATTGACCTGCACTTTGGTCGTTGGAATTCAATATAAGAGTAGACCGTAGCGCCGCTGTCCGGGCACAATTTCCTTCATAGCACATTGTTTGGTGTATGGCAGTCTTCATTAGCCCAGTCGGAACAGAACAGTAGGACGTTAAACCCCATTCCATTTTTTCCGTTATATTGTCTTCTACTTGTGCTAAAGAATACGTGCATTCACGTAAAAGTCCGGTTGTTGCCGAACAGTCCTATTTCAATCAAATAGTTGACCCCAGATACCACTGGTGCTATCTGGTATGTAATAATGAAAACATATTTTACATGCAGTGAAATATTACTTGTGTCAGAATTTGTATCTGTTTCAACTTCTTACAGGTGTGTTACAAGGTATCTCAGAACTATTTTTTCTGTAGAAAGCATTGTTTTATTGAAAGGGGGTGGGGGCATTATTCTATAAAATATTAGCTCTTAGATAATACCTCTTGAAATTGTACATCAGACTACATCTAGACTATCAGAACAAAAAGGAGTACATATTATCTTCTAAACATAATCTGGGTTATTTTATATCCTACATCCATATACAAATTTACCTCTTGTTGTTTTAGTTTCTATATCAGACGAGTTTCTACTCATTTTCCTAAGTATTTTATGTGAAATTAACTGAAATGGGGTTTAACGTTTTACTTACTAGTGAGAAATGTGATAAATGTTTTTTTAATATCATGTAAAAACTGACGAAATAAAAGTTTTATTCAAAGTCAGTTTGGCAACTGATACAGCAAATTTAACAACGATTATTGGAACACTTTGAATGCCCTCGGGAGATGAATGCTCGAGGCCGTCGCCCCCTCCTCCTCAACTCTGCACACCACTGCCAGACTGTTGTATGTTAAACTGATATTAGGCCGATACATATATATACACTTTGTTATCACTGATAGAATTATTTATTGAATAATGCACTGACTCGCTAATCAAAAGGCCCCTGTGTCGTCCGAGAAATTTCCTCGTTTTTTTCCGTCAGTTGGAATTCAAAATACGATTAGGCAAAATGTCCTCGAAAGCACATTTTATGGTGTATGACCGTCTTCTTTAGTCAGGTTCGAATTTCATGCTTTGAGCTTGAATAATATTCAAATTACACATAGTCCCTTTGTCCATTCTCTGGTTTTATTCGGTCTAACCTGTGTATCGTTTCTGGCAATATATATCTAATTTGAGCTATATTCTTGGATCACTTGTTCTGTTTGGATTTTGTAGCGCAGTCCTCCATCCAATGTCACATTACCACTTTCCATCTTGATGAATTTTCTCATGTAGCGAATCAGTCGATTGGCCTAATTTGTCTAATTCGTCCATTATTAATTACAAATATTACTAACGATTTCGATTGCTTTTGATAACTAGTGGGACCATTTATTTCACGTCGCACCAATATTCACCAGACATTCGTAAATCAAAAATCAAACTGGTCAATAAACATGTTATTATTTCACCAACCTCGTCGGTATTCCTCGGACTCTCTGCCCCCCCCCCCCCCCCCGCCTCTCTCTCGCTCTCTTTCCCTCTCTTTTACAACACATGGCTTCAAACTATTGTCCAGTGCGACAGGTTATGACTACCAATTTTAGAACACCTAGTACCACTTCTTATTTAGGCCTTTACATGGTGTTTGTACTCTTTCTTGAACACCTGGTTTCACTTCTCATTTGATGACTTCACACTTTCTAAAAGACCCCGTTTTACACAGTCTGATATTAATCATTTCAAGTACAAGTAGCACTTTCTAGGGGACTCGATAAGGCACAGACTTCGTTACCAGGAGGTCGGGTGGGGGTCGGGGACACAGTTCCTTATCACTGAGAAATTACGAAAAAATCTCCTAGGGGGGTTGGGTGGCCGAATGGTTAGCACATGCGCGCTGCGCTGTATCACACGGTCTGTCATTGAGTCAACTGGCGAGGTTTCGATTTCCCGGCTGTACGTGACAAGGAGTAGGGTCGCCTGTCCAACCTCGCGGGTTTTCTCCGGGTCCTCCGGTTTCCTCCCACTGCTTAAGACCCCTACGCGCAAGCGAATTATTGAAATAAAAATTGAAGCATGTGTTAGTCCCGAAATGACCTAGTTTGTGTCGAGTAGTCGTTAAATCCCATTTCTCTCTCTCTCTCTCTTACCTTATTTCTAGGTGTATACTATAAACCTTCTATCCCGCTTTACACCAGAAGGTTTTTTGTTTTATTAATTTTTTTTTTTTTGCAGCAAGTAATAAAGTTTTGCAGACTATTATAACCATTTATTTTAGCAATTCCTCCCAGTAATATTGGGCTGTGTGGAACATGCTAGCGTCAATTTGTAGCATATCTGACCCACGGTATATTTTTGACACTGGTCGAGCATTATGATTATGATTATAATGTTGTAAACCGCATTCAAACCGCGTGACTTTTTGCCATTTGCGAGGGGGTACAAAACCTCAAGGTGGCGCAAAAACTCAAAACCATGACGCAAAGCTCGTCATTGCGTCCTTCTCTCCTAGCCCCTGCTACGCTGTTGTGTTTAATGTGTGTCCTTAACCAGACCGGAAGCACATAATGTGCGTAGAAGATCCCGTCGCAGCTCAAATTATAAAAAAAAAACAAAGAGTAAACAGCACACGTAAACATGTAAATGTAATTTCCCTATGTCAGTCTCAAAATAGTCTTAGTGATGTCAACGAGGATTTAAACCCGATCCCAGTCTTCTTCATATATCCTGATTGAGCGTTAAAGTGGTGTTGTCGTTAGATAATATATAATATAGTATAATATCATAGACTATAGAGGTTTATTGAAAGGTAAAGAATAAAAGTCAATATAGGTGAAGAGGGTTTAATATAAATATGTTGACAGCTATATACTCATCTTATACCATATAAATATCTTGTAGGTGGTCTCTATAGGGTGTGGAAGAGGGCGTCAATAAACTTATATTTTATTTAAAGGAGTTAAATCGCTAATATTTGGGATCACGCAACGCATACAATAATGTAATATGAATGTATATAAACTGATTTACATTCAATCGTTTCTATTTTTACTGTAATTTCTAATCAGTTATGTTCGGCGAAATGCGCCAAAGTCTCAATTAAATGACAATCTTTAGCGTCTTGTTATTCCAGTCTACACCGATGGTAATTATTGCGCATGCTCTCCAGATAAGAATATAGCGTCACTATTTGACATGACTTGTGGAATATGTCTAGCCTCGTTCTTTGAGTCCCTTGTTCCAAATGGCGCTGAAACGCATTATGGTACACGGTTCGTGTACCAATGGTAAAATGTTTATTTTGTCTTGAATATTGGATATCAGAAGCCCATCTTGTCCCTGTGAGATCACAAGACCAATGTTGATCTGAATTGACAAATAATTCTTGTTTTCAATATCGAAGATATTTGATGATATTGAGTCACTTTGCTTCGGGAGAACGCATCGCCATTTGATCAGCAAAACACTTCGCCCATTTTGTAACTAACATTATCTGATAGCATATAGCGAAAACGTACGAAAGTGGACGCCTCCCCATTTGATCAAACCCATACTCATCTCATTTTGTAATTAAATTACGATGCATTTTATGTCTATGTTGAGTGTAGGAAATTACCGTCTAAGATGGCGTCAATCATACACTTTTATTTTATTTGTACCTACGGAAAGAAAAGGTGGACACTTTACTTTTTGAGAAGCCCAATACCACGGACACTTTGAGACCACCGCACGATACTTTTTATTCCCTATCGTGATGAGATTTAGGAGGGTGGGGTGGGGGTATTCCTAAACATAAGCGTTCTCATATTCATTTTAATATTTCCATAAGCCCTTATCTTACTGTTTTTGGAAGGCGCGGGAGTCTTGTCCGTGCTTTTCATTTGGAGCTAGCCCCATTTAAGCTAGACCCGTTCAAGCTATAGACCCATTCAAGCTCCAAGAGAACACTTTCCCTCTTTCTGATAAGGAAGCAGGTATTCGTCTTGAATGTTTTCCGAATCGCATATTTCGCAGAGAAGTTAGATATAAATTATAGTTCTTATCCCCACCTGTCTTGAAGTGGGCTTATGCAAAAACAAAATAAATAGATAAATAAATAAAAAAACGATGGAGGACTGTAGATATCATCTTCAAAGTGGGCTTATAAACATAGTGTAGAATACGAACGTCTGACGACTTAGAAAGAAATGATTTTAACCGTCCCAGAAGGAGGTAAATGATATTGACAGCTATGTTTTAAAACTATCTATCACCACCTGAACCAAGACAAATAATTCAGACATTGTTGAAGCGTAAAGTATGTCGAGTTGATGTGAGTACTTCAACTTTAAGTGGTCCCAGTTCGTGCGAGCATGAATTTATAATTCCTAACAACTTGACCTCACTAGGGCCAGCCAAATGATAACTTTTCTCGCGTGTCTGATATATTTTCTCATATGCAGCTAATTTGTGTATTGAAATAGAGTTTAACGTCCTACTTTCTGCACCAGCCGAGCTAATGCATACTAAACCTACGCTGTCTGTTTGCAATCAGTTCCGCTTGAGAACGGACACTAAACTAGTTGTCCGACATTTTAAAGAGAGAATTCCATATTTTCTAAGAAAGTCAAAACATAATTATATCTATGTCTTTTGTTCAATATGTTGTTAACTCACTATTATACGATCATTCTCACACTTAAAACTCATTCACCCCGGAAATAATAACACAATTACCTCCCTTGTTTTTCTATTCCCCCAATGGAATAGCTATGTTCAAACGTTTGAATTTGAAGTTGAAAATGATATTTTTGCCAATTTCTCAACTGGCAATTTGCCAATTTCTCAACTGGCATAGCGGCGTTTCTGTCTATGCTTTATAGAATTCAAACTGGTTTCTTTCACGCGCAGATCAATGTTATTTCATGCCATCTGAATGACTAAACGCAGCATTCTGCACACAGAGATCTATATACTCTACTTCAAGAATAGATCTCGACCCTATATGACCGCCGGTTCACATCTGTTATACAGAGAGAGAGAGAGATAGAGAGAGAGAGGGAGAGAGAGAGAGAGAGAGAGTGAGAGAGAGATGGGGTTTAACATCCACTCGACACAAACTAGGTCATTTCGGGACTAACATATGGTTTAATTTTATTTCAATAATTCGCTTGCGCGTAGGGGTCTTTAGCAGTGAGAGGAAACCGGAAGACCCGGAGAAAACCCATGAGGTTGGACAGGCGACCCTACTCCTTGTCGCGTACAACCGGGGATTCGAAACCACGTCAGTTGACTCAATGACAGGCCTTATGATACAGCGCACACGTGCTAACCATTCGGCCCCCCCCCCCCCCTACACATTTTTAGCTTTAGTAAATAAAAGCAGAATATATACTTCTAAAAATTCCCTGTGTTCACCCGGTTGGTGTAGTTAACGGATTAATACCGCACTAAAACACAGTTGTTGCAACATCATTCACAATTCACCCTGACGTATTTCTAGCCATTTCAAAAAATATGTAAGTCATTAATGAGCGTCAAGTATATATTTACAATCGTAGACTAAACCTCATTGTTTTGGTAGATTGAGGTGAAGGAATATTTCACATTCCAAGCGACCACCAATCACATATTTACCAATCTCTAGCCACTGGATGCCTCTAGACTTTATCTCTTATATAGATAGTAGTCTGGGTGTATAGAGTGGTAGGAAATAAAAACAGGGTTTAACGTCTCCACAACAAAATACAAACAGCTGATAAGTATACAATGTGGGGTAAGAGAATTTCGCCCGGACAGCAGCGTTTCCGCCTATTTCCAACCGTTAAGAGTTCATTTGCTTTGCGCCTGTGTGTACCTGAATGGGACTTGGGTTTTCGTCACATCCGAACGATGAGGGTAAGAGAATTTTGTCCCGACAGCGGCGTTTTCGCCTATTCGTCTTAAAATTCTAACTGTCAAGCGTTCTATTACCCCAATGTGTACATGAAAGGACCTCATATTTTTGTCTCATACTCACGACTAGGCATGCCGTTCTAATCACTCTCGCGGGGCGCTACACGCTATAGCGAAGACCGGACTTGAAAAATCCGATATGAGGTATAATCGTCTACATTGCCCCGGTCGCAACAGAAAAGTTGGTTCCCCGCTTGTACGTGACAAGGACTAGGGTTGCCTGTCCAACCTTGTGGGTTTTCTCCGGGTCCTCCGGTTTCCTCCCACTGCTAAATAAAAGAACCCTACGGACAAGCGAAGTATAGAACCATATGTTAGTCCCGAAATGATATAGTTTGTGCCGAATGGACGTTAGACCCCATTAACTCTCTATTATACACTAAATTACCAAAATAAAATGATGTCCATATTCCATTTCCGCTTCCTATTGGCTATTAATCCTGTAAATCTTTGGTTATTACTGTCGGATCAGGTTTCATGAGTATTGATCGAGTTCTTTGTGTTGTACAATAAATATAACCAAACAAACGAACATCAGACAAAATATTATCATTTTAAAAATCAAAGAATTTTGTAACCTATTAGTTTCCCTTTATCAAGGGTTATAGTCCTTTATTACCAGTAATCTTTTATAGCTCCTCATTAAACATATAATCAATAGGTCTGTTAAATAATCATAACAGTCATAAAATATATTTCTTCAACACAATTATTGTTCGTTCGTTCGTTATAGATAGATAGAGAGAGAAATTGGGTTTAACGTCGACTCGACACAAACTAGGTCATTTCGGGATTAACATATGGTTCAATTTTTTTCAATAATTCGCTACTCCTTGTCACGTACAACAGGGGAATCGAAACCACGCCAGTTGACTCGATGACAGACCTTATGATAGCGCACGCTAATCATTCGGCCATCCTATCCCCTCGTTCGTTATAGTGAATTAATGAATTGTATTACTTTAAATTGTACAAACATAGTATTATTAAAGAGACAAATTTAGCCTTGTCATCATCCTGGCTTATTCTCCTAATGTCCCTCAATTGTACAATATATTCAAAATACTGTTTAAACAATAACGTTAACTCAAATCAACAGAGAGAGAGAGAGAGAGAGAGAGAGAGAGAAAGAGAGAGAGAGAGTTTAACGTCCACTCGACACAAACTAGGCCATTTCGGGATCAACATATGGTTCAATTTTATTTCAATAATTCACTTGCGAGTAGGGATCTTTGGCAGTGGGAGGAAACCGGAGGACCCGGAGAAAACCTACGAGGTTGGACAGTTGACCCCACTTCTTGTCGTAAAGATTTAGATAAAGAGCTAATATAATATAATAGTTCGGAAATGGATAATGTAAAATGAATAATTGGAAAATGTCATTCAAATTACTCAATTGCGAGCGAAGATATTAGCTTTTGAAAGTTGACAAGATGTGTGCAATAATTTCAACCACCGCACTGGTTGTTCGACGATAAGTCTCGCTCCTCCATTTTTTAGCTTAAATCAAAATATAGCTGAACTGTTCTAATCTATTTAATATCGGAGAAATCCGATGCCATCGTGAGTTGATTATGGCCTGGATAAGTTAATTAATGTCCAATTAATAATTTAGAAAACATTTCAGACCCAAAGAAAGACCTTTTATAAAATTTTGAAATGATCTTGTTAAATGTTAACCGTAATGGTACTTCTGATTGGTTCGGATTTTTTTTTACTGAAACTGTCATATCAAGTGAATAACCTGTCCATCTTCTTCTTAGTATTTTATTGCATAAGTAATCGAACTTAAACTACAATAACCTGTTTATTAGTATTTTATTCCACATCTAAATAGTCGCGCATCAACAGTTACCTTGCGAAGTCTAGAACTGCTCCGTTTCTAGTATAATATAAAGTAAGCTGTCAATTTCCATGTGTAATATAATGTCGAGTGTTGTAATATTTGTCTTTATAAGTAGTTTATAAGCTGAAGATAAGGATGTTAATTGGTGCTAATTACCTTGTTAATTACACCTGTGGGGATATACAATATACCATGGTCTGAAATAAACAAACACTCCACTTTAAGATGTGTTGATATTTCGTAACATTTGAATTTATAATATTAATACAATATAATACACATTTGAGTTCATAATACAGTTCAACATACACGTTCAGACCCCTCCACCCACCCCCACATGAGACCAAGTAAGCGCCCTAAGGTTCACAACAAAACCTCAATAAACAAAATCAACAACAATCCTAATAATATGACATGGACGATGACGATCGTCGAACAAGTATATAGGCAATACGATATATTTTCTACCAGGGCGTTCAGTGTTCTTTTATGCATTTCATTACGTATTTTGTTGACATTTGTTATGGGGCAGGATTTTGGATGGTGCCCTAGATTTAGACCCCTTTCTAGATCAGCTACTGTACACATTGACTAGCGCCGTCACTGATTCTCCAATTAATCTTTATCCCGAATCACCTTAATTTTACGAGTGTTGTCCCTTGTTGATTGGCAATTAAATGTTATCCAGACATAGAGATTGATTGGATCGGGTCGTAACAGTAAAATATTGTCTATGTAAACTATTGTATATTTTATTTCAAACAGGAAAGCAAAGTAAATTATGTGATTTTGATAAAAAAAAAAACGAACAAACGAAACAATCAACAACCAACAAACAACAACAACAAAAAGAAACAACAATGGAGATTTAGAAATTATTTCTGAATTTTCGGATTTAGAACTGAAGGATATGTTATGTTTATTTGTTTTATATTCTTAAGGCTTTGTCAATATGTAATTTTAATTTTCCAGATCGCGATGCAGATGATAGTCAAATGTGTAGTGATGAGGAGAGTGGGAAGGAAGAAGAGGGAAAGGAAAGAATAAATGAAAGACAAGAGGATGCGAATCAGCAACAAAGAAAGACGGTGGCTCAGATAATGCGAGACAAGAAAAAACAAACATCTTTAACTTTACAGTGGTCAGTTTATTTTATTATAAACACATTCCAAATACATAATAAAAACTTATTATAGGTCTTTCTTTAGGACTTAAATGTTATATAAATTATCAATTAGTCAATTAGACATTAAGTAAATTACCAAGACCACAATTAACCCTCGATGCCATCGGATGCTCGGGATTTTAAATACGATTGACAGTTTATGATTTAATTTAAAAATGGATAATTGAGAGTTTGTTTATTATCTTAGCAATGACAATCGAGGTTAACTCGGCTTAGAGTGGGGTAATTTTAAACTATTATCGTATTATCGTATTATATAATGTCCCTTTAATTTTAAATTGCTAAGAAATGAAATGGGGTTCAACGTTGTATACTCTTCTGCACTAACGGGGATAATAAAGACTTTGAGGCACATTTTGTCTTGGCAGTGGCATTTCAGGCTACTTGTTTTCTAATTCCGAATTTCAAGGGTTCATTTGTGTGTGCGCTAACGAGTACGCGGGGTCTCGTTTTTTCGGAGCATCGGAACAACTAGCAAGGCCCTCTGTTCTACACCATTGACAAGGGGAAAGAAACTGGAACTCTTTAAACATGCATTATGCAAGAGGTAAATCTGCCTATTGCAGGTCTATTAATTAGACATTTATTAACATGAAAATACCATAATCAATTCTCGATGCCATTTTATCTGTCCGATTTTTATTGGATTTGAACGTCCGTTGCTGATTAAACGCAAAAAAATGGATAATCGAGACTTTGTTAATTATCGTTATAACGCTAACAATGACAATCGAAGGTACAAAAATTTCAAAATAAGTTTTGAAGCAATTTGACTGAAATTTTCAGCATATTCCCTTTACATCATCTAGTTTTTAACTACTATAGTGCGAACTGTCGGGTCTTTATCTAATCTATATAATCTTCCATAATGTATCTTTAAGTAAAACCCCTCAACAAAACTGACTGCTATGTGTAGACACTGCAGTTCTTATTCAATTTGATTCAGTTGATATTTTATTGGAAAACTGGTCTTCTTTATAAATATTTCATTTCGTTCTAATTCCCAATTCTAGGGATAGCTAGCTTTCAATAACAAAAATTTCGTTTCGTTAAAATTTCCCACAGTAAAAGATACATGTAGCTAGTTTTCAATAATAAATATTTCGTTTTAATTTCCTGCTTTAGGACTACACATAATGTATAATAAATATTTCGATTTAATTTCCAACTTTAGAACAGATCAGTAATGTTTATGTATATAAATATTTCTTTTCGTTTAAATTTCCTACTGTAGGTCAATAGCTAGTTTATATATAATAAATATTACGTTTTAAATTCCCGCTTTAGGAATATAGATAGTTTATGTATATACATATTTCGTTTCGTTTTAATTTCCCACACTGTGGATAGCTAGCTAACAATAATACATATTTCGTTTCGTTTCAATTTCCCACATTATCGTCAGAGAGCTTTCAATAATAAATAGTTCGTTTCGTTTTAATTTCTCGCTTTAGGACTATAGATAGTTTATGCATAATAAATATTTGATAATTTATGTAAATTAATATTTCGTTTCGTTAGAAATACGCGATGTAAAGCGATATTATAATCTAACTTAATACGTAATATAGAGGGTATTAACTATTATTAAACTAATCTTAATAAAAGCAAAAATAATTCACGAATCAGATTAAAAGGGATTAAATAAATAAAACTGGGGTCAATTTGAAGTAGATTAAACTACTGTGTAATATTTGCTGCGTTACTAGGAAACGATGTATACTATAGTATGATATAGTACAATATACAATACATAGATACTAGAATTCTCTGATAAATAGGAGAAGCCACATAGGCTCACTATAGATTCCAGATTGGAACCCGGTGGTGGTAGATAAAGTGCCTCCCTTGTCAGTGGTGTGGGGGTGGAGTGGGGAAACCTGACATGGAAGGGTATCAAGTCGTTTGGATGTGACTAAGAAACGCTCAATACTGCAAATCGCGTGCCCATAGCCCAGGTGGTGAAGACATGTAAGAAATTAAACCCCATTTCATTTCATTCCATTACACAGGACACACTTTTATGGAATACAATTTAATGTTTATTACTGAGCTATGTTTTAACTCGGATTCTCTTGTCTTTATCAGACTCGGTAATAAACGGTTGGATTCAACAGAATGGTGTCCAGTTTAATCAATTACTTCAAGCCAATGAAGCAAACTATAAATTTGTGTAGATCACCTATGAACGGGAACCGGTTTCACGTATTGACTCGCTATACGGTTTGGCTAGGTACCCTGCGCACGGGCCGCAAGAGCTCACGAGTCTATTTCGTTCTCTGTTGGAAGCAGTTACATCCTTAATTGCCCATTGACATCATTAATTGCCTCTATTGATATAACGTTTACCCAAATTTCGTGGGATCGAACGCTTTATACCACAGATGGAGCAACATGTGCAACCTTTGCCTCAAAGGCAGGTATAGGGTTAATCATGAGAATCTGATATACACAAAGTGGAAGTAGCATATAAAAAAACATACAACTGTCCGCCCTACATTTTAACGTAACCAATCTCTTAACTCTCTTATCCGTCCGCCTCAAAACCTAGCAGAAAAAATATATTTTAAACACTTTTGTTCGATTCTACACCAAAAAAGTCAACATAAATCGCCATGCAAAATGGGAAAAAAACGGAGAGAAAGACTATAAATAGCTTTTGCACGAGATTTGTAGAAATTAATGATGAGCTGTGTCCTGCTAGAGTGCTGTTCAACAACTGCAGTTGTTTACTAATGGTGAAGATTTTATATTGTCTCAACCGGGACAATGAGTTTATAACACAGTTGTTTACTAATGGTGAAAACATTCTACGTTGCTGCACCAACATTGCAGGGACTATTAGTTTATTATCTTAACAACGTTAGCAATGACAATCCCGGTGGAGACAATATATATTATTGGGTCTACTGCATGTATGCCTGTCATTTTATTATTTTTAAAAATCATGTGACGGTTACGGTTACTAATTTTGCAACTACAAAAATTAGATATTAGGTCCAAACTAAAAAGGGGGCTGTTTATATTTAATACAAGCTTTGGCTTATTAATATGAACGACCAGTGTTGAACTAAAATGCCGCACAAAATGAATGAGATCTAGCATTGTGATGTAAATAAAAATATATTAAAGCGCAATCGGTTGTCTTTAATTGTTGTTGAATTTTAACGGCATTAATAAATAAATTAAATTATTATTAGATGAATTAAATTATTATTAAATGAATTAAATTATTATTAAATGAATTACATTTTTATTAAATCAATTAAATTATTATTAAATCAATTAAATTATTATTAAATCAATTAAATTATAATTAAACCAATTCAATTATAATTAAACCAATTCAATTATTCTCAAATTAATAAAAAAAAATGTGTTAAACATATTAAATTAGTATTAAATACATTGAATTACATGTAGTATTAAATATATTACATTTTGTTTTTAAAATGAATTATTAATTGAATAAACTTACATGTTTTATTAACTGAATTAACTTATTATTAAATAAATTAAATTATTATTAAATCAATAAATTATTATTATTATTATAATATGCATTAAATTATTATTAAATCAATTAAATTATTATTAAATCAATTAAATTATTATTAAATCAATTAAATTAGCATTAAATATATTGAATGATTATTAAATCAATTAAAGTATTATTAAATAACATAACGTATTATTAAATGACTTAACGTATTATTAAATAACATAACGTATTATTAAATAACATAACGTATTATTAAATAACATAACGTATTATTAAATGACTTAACGTATTATTAAATGGATTAAAGTATTATCAAATTAATAATTATTAATAATAAAATTTGAAGGGAGACGAGCAAAGCGAGTAATAGAACACGAGAATGTACCCAATAACATCGACAAGACAAAACTCGTTGACGACACTCATCGTTTCAAGTGTGAAGTATTTTTACTTTATTTATTTTATCCCATGAAAAAAAAATCCCACTATTGAAAGCCGAGGTTTACTTACCGTATTATATTACATTGTCTCATAAAAGATTTAAATAAACGAGATCACATAGTTCAATTCCTAGTGTATTGTATTGTAAAGTAGGGGTTGGTGTCGCTTATATCATTGACAAGCTTGGTAAATAAGCACAGCCTGGCGTTAAATAGTTAGGTAATAGTTTACAGTGATAGAAATCCTATAGTTTAAGCCAGGACCCTTGAAGAAGGACAATAGAGTGTTTATATATAGTAGATATTGATATGTATAATACTAATAAACTATAAAATTAATAGTAATATAATATTTGGTAAATATAAAAGGTGTTTATGGTTAATTTCATGTAATAGACAACTCACAGAAAAAAAGATAATCAAAAGTCTTCTTCTTAAAGATAATTTGGGAAAATCTGTTAAGCAAAATATCCACAAATTAACAGGCCCTATCTTATATCATTAGTATTATTTAACATCATTTACAGTTCGTCGGAGATAAGAATATATTTCTGTAATTATAAGTCAGGAAACCGATTATTTTCATTTTATTTAAAGCCAAAATTACACCCAAAATTAATACATTATCTTAAGTATTTAACCACCGAGGTGGGGGCCGCGACGAACCTTGGGGATTTTATAACCCACGCCACCTCTTGATTATTGTAACACGTGCGACATTAAAAAATCATATCTCACATTGCATGCATAATCACAAAACATATAATTAGCTGAATGTTATTCTCCATTCAAAATAGCGGAAATATTATGTTATTCTGCCGACATATTTAGCGACAGACATCCTTGTTTTGACTGCCACAGTGACATTGTTCTTCCTGGCAACTTAAGATTTTAACCTTCAAATATGACGATTGACTTTAACTTTTTAATAACTCTTCATACAAGAATTAAATCATGGAAACGACCAAATATAAGTCGAACGGCTTAGATTCTTATATAACTATCTCCTAAGAGCCTTAATTTGTTTTCTCCCTGTGAGCTGGATATTTTTTTTCAGCATGTCATATTATACTTTTTATATTCAATGTTAATTTTAATCGAGGCGATTATGTTCCTAAATCTTTTTGAAAAGAAGGACAATCTTTTTACAATTCAAACCCATAGTGACAACAAATCATTTTTTTATCCTCGTCTTGACAAATATCTCGTGAAAGTTTGTTTATTTTAATGCATGTTATTTATTTAAAGGGTTTAAGGAACCTCGGGTAGTCGGATGTGAAAACTACCTCCTAGACTGATAGGCTAGAAATTGACAACTTCAAGTGATTCGCAAAGCTCGTGAATGTCATTAGGTGACGTATTCACGTTCTCCTTTATGCTAATTAGCTGCTCGATTGCAGGTATTAAATAAATTTAAAGTTTAAGTTTGTGTAAATGAAAAGTCAGATTGACAGTTTTGCACGACAGCTCGGGAATGTCTCAAATATTTTGTGATGAGTGGAATCAGAGTGGAAGAAATTGATTATAATATTTGTTTACAGTCAATCAGTGAACCTTTTATTTGTTTTATCGTGACGGTGTACCACAGGGATCCGATCTTGGGCCACTTACATCCCTACTATATATAAAGAGATACTGTTAAGTATATAATTTCAAACAATATTGTTATGAAAATTGTTGTCGAATAGAGGAAACACATAATAGTAAAGTTCATCATCCACTTTCTAACCAATAATATTTTTGAGACTAACACGACAATGTTTAGTTCAATGAATTTGTAGTTTGTTATGGGGTTTATGGGTCGGTGGGAAAATTGGTCGGTAGATAGGTGTGTCCGAACATCTTGGACAAGCTCGCGGTCATCTCCAATCCATTCCCATCAAGCATATCATAATGCAACCACATGGAAACTACAGAGATCAATGCGATGCAATTGAAAATAATTATATATCCAAACCCGCGGGATATTTGCGCCTGTTGTCATTTTCTTCAATTAATTATTGTCCACTGATAGTCGTTCGGCTGGGTCCGGTGTACACATTGGCTTGCACGTAAAAGAACCCTTGCCAGATGAAATTTGATATAAGCGTGGGCCTTAGCGCCACTCTCCGGGCAAAATGTCCTTTATAGCACACTGCATGACGTGCAGAAAAGTCGAAAATTAAACCTCATTTCATTTTAATAAGGATGTCATCCATACGTTTTAACCTTCAAATATTTTAGCCTAATTTTATCAGTGCTGAAGGTGTAATAATAAGACGTAGCTTTACGATACTTAAGCCTCCGAACCTTGATATAAACGAGATATGAAATATAACTGTGGTATCACCAGTGACAGGTTTATAATGTTTGTTAGTTAGTATTAATTGTAATTAAGATATCTAAATATAGATTGTATTTATCTTTAACAAGACAGATTTATTGCTCATATTGCCCTGTCTCGATACACTAGATAATAACTAATTTCAATATTTATCTCACTTGAAGACGATTAGGAAACCAATTCCCTGTTTTGACGATGGAGGGGTGGGGAGATTTTGGAGATTGAATTAAGAGCATGCTGTTGGAGCCGTTGTGTTGCAGATGGCTAGGGTGGGGTGGACTGTGGGCTGTGGGTTGTGATTGAGGTGTTGCTAACCATAGGGAAAGGGGATTTTGGCGATGTGATGGGAGGATACTTGCGATGTTGTAGTCGCGGTGACGGCGGGTGAGATGTGAAGATGCTGGTTTTGACAGGAAACGAGTGGTTGAAATATTGGTGATGGGATTGGGAGTTGTCGCTCGAAAAGTACATGTTGTATTAAAATCGAAAACGCCGACTAGACATTTTCAAATTGTTTCTCTTATTCGTCAAATAAAAATTATTTGAATTAGTTACGCTTGAAGATCTCTTCCTTCTCTTTCCGACAATTCTGCAATGAAAACTGGCGACAAATGGTCATATATATATCAATACATATTCTTTCGAACAATATTGTCCCCAAACGTATCTCAACAGCTATATACTGAGTAGTAGTATCATGTGTTCTAGAAAGGGTAAGCATACCCTGCCTAGTATTGTATTATTCATCCACCATTTCACAAATCCAAGTTGATCCCGTATCCCGCAAACCCAATTAAACGGTCTACGCCAGAAATCTCCCTTCGTTAATCCAATATGAAAATGTGGATTTGAGATATCTTCTTCAACCGTATAATGGTTTTGCTTTGGCTGAATATGCCGGGAAATTTGGAAATGAAATGAAATGGCGTTCAATGTCCTACTGTTCTGCTCCGAACTGGGCCAATGAAGACGGACATACGCCATACAGTGTGCTACGTCCTACCGAATTCCATCAGGCAAATGATCTGTCATGCACGACTGACACGGTGGAACCACGAAAAAATATCCCAATGAACTTTCTCGGCCAACACTGGTATCGAACATTTGGGACCTCCAGGTTAGCCAACCAACGTCTTACTCACTGAGCCACCGGGCAATTTGATGACAGTTGTGGGTTCCCCAACAAAACCACTGCGGCTCGCCACTTTACAATAATTATATTGTTTCAGGTTAGAAGAGAACTACAGTATATGTGAAGGTGTTTGTTTACCTCGATGTATTTTATACGCCCATTACCTGGATTTCTGTCGACGAGAAACATTGGAACCAGCTTGTGCTGCCACCTTTGGAAAGGTAAGCAACTCTAACTATATCCGACTACAAACACGTACCAGTCTATTGTTACTAATATAAGAATTTTGATAAACATCATGCACATGTTGTATGTTTTATTGTTAAATATAAAGGAGTGTACAGTCTCGTCCATACAATGTTTAGGTCATTTTGAGACTAAACGAGAGACGGACACGTCGGAAAATCGGCATTTCAGCCTACTCTAAATCGAATCCCGACTGTCATAGCCGAACCTCTGCTTTTCGTTCCATTCAAACGACTATTGAGAACCTGGCTTTAAAAAAACATCCTAAGGTTCTTCACGGCACACACCGGGGGGGGGGGGGGTCCAACACCCCGGGACATTCTGTTAGAAAGGCCAGTGTCCTACCACTTGATAACCGAGGCCCCCTTTATTGTTAAAAGAAGCCCCAATCTATTTAAGTCGCAAAAGCATTGTCATTAATCAGTCTTTAATAAAAATATTAATTTAGTAATTCTTAGAATTCAACCCCATTTTTGTGGCTCTAATGGGAGTACATGCCTTTTATATTATTAATTATAGACAATACGACAGAAATTTCCTCATCTAACAACAAGACGTTTGGGAACAAGAGGTCATTCCAAGTAAGTTTATTTCTCTATCAAAACTTTGCGAGTGTTTGTTTTGTCCTATAATTGTTCAATTGGTGCCTACTCGTCTTTACGCGTTTCGCTTTCCTCTTCATATTCTTAAAGTTTTAAATCTTATAAAAATAAAATATAGTACCATCGAACCTTACGGGCCACCGGATCAATTATTATCACAACTTGTCTCTGATCAACTACGTTATTATTATTATTATTATTATTATTATTATAGTTGTTTATTGTGTATATATTGTCGTATCATTATTTCACATTTCACATAGCTTAAGCCAGTCGTACACGAGCAAAGAAAATTTGACAAATTTCTTTGACGGTCTCTTCAAATTTTCTTGGTCGGAACTGTGAAGGAACCGCATTCATAGAACAAAAAGAAAGCCAACTTGTGTACAAAAAATTCAGAATAGTGATTTTAATTCCAAAAGAGCGTTTTTTTCTTGTTTCGGTCCTTATACTCCTTGAAGTGTTCCATAAGTACTCGCGACTTTGCAGTCCATCTAGCAGGATTTCTACCGTTCGATCAGTCCAAGTAATAGGCATATTTGCAATTTAATCAACGAGACGATAATCGAAAGTTCACCTACTTTTTCTTTGCACTTATCCGCCCCTGCGTCGAAAAATGAAAGTGAAATCATTAGATGCGTGCGCAGATTTGTGGCAAATTTATTTGACGGCCTATCGGACACGAACATAAGTTCCAAATCTTTGACACATTTATTTGACGAAAAGCTATGCATGCCAGCTTTTGTCAAATCTCATATGGCAAATGAAAATTTGGCAAATTTCCACTCGTACACGAGCAAATGTCTTTGACAAATCTCCATTTGTCAAACAAAATTTGCTCGTGTACGAAGGGCTTTATCTTTATTTCAATTGGAGAACACGTACTATACATGTAGATAGGAGGCAAATTTAGATACTTTTTAGTCTTTTGCATGTAGGGGTCTTTAGCAGTGAGAGGAAACCGCATAACACGGATATCACCCACGAAGTTAGATAGGTGCTCCCACACCTAGTCAAATCCTAGGCATTATGTAAGATTAGATAAAGAGCTGACAGTTCTCGCTATAATAGTTAAACAATAGATAATGACACGGGAATATGTTGAACATTTCAGTCAAATTACTTTACTCTGAACTGAGCTACCGTCGTTGGAAGAACAGTGTAGCCTTGATTGTCGTTGCTACCGTGGTTAAGATAATAAACAAAAACTCGATTATCCTTTTTCAAATTAAATCATTATATGACCCAACCGTTCTAATCTACTAAAAATCGGAGCCCTCGGATGGCATCGAGAGTTGTTAATGATTTATATAACATTTAAGGCCTAAAGAAAGACCTGCAATAGGCAGATTTAGCTCTCGCATAAAGTATGTTTAACTCAATGATAGATTTCAATATCTAAAGCGCACGCGTTACAAAATTCGGCCAACAAATCCTGCTTGTTTAACACGCCGTGTTATATTGTTTCATTGCTTGTTAAATATCCTTCAAGCTATGGACATAAGTTGTTTCGATATATGTTTTTTTACAGTCATTTCCTCTGGTGGACGGGTGACACACACACAAAAAAATCTTTTTATTTTATAACCAAGAAAAGTTTGCTATTTCAATACTTTGAGTAGGGACGCCAATAAATTTTATACTAAGATCTTGTACACTTGTGAAGTGATTGTTAGATACTTGTCGGGAACAGTAAAACACTCCAAACACATGTTGTCTTATTTATGGTACCATTTGGCGCTGTTGTAATGTTTATGGTGCTTCGCGGAATAGGCGGGTGCACGCGAACCTTATTGATTCAGAGATTGCGCAATTTTATTATTTCAACATCTTTCCGTGCTTGAGATATAGATTACAAGTTTTCTTTATTTTAATGAGTTTGAGGGTTTTTTGCGGGAGCTATGCAGGGAGTCAATTTAGTCGGAGATTGGGAAGGGGATCAAATTAAAGATAAATATGTGGCAAATTATTCTTCATTACTATTTTTTAGTGTGTATTTGTGGGTGGGGTGGGGGTGGGTGGAGTGAGCAGTTTCGAAACTACTGTTCAACCGTTTGTCTGTCAGACATGCGTCTTCTTTCTGCCGCCAAAATATTCGCCATTGTTACAAGTGGTTTGATCAGACATGGAAAATTCACGTGTACGTCAATGTGAAAACAGGACGATCGATAGATACAAGTATGTGCTTAAAAAAGAACAGAAAGCCGGAACAATTTAATATACTCGTAACATGGTTTTGTTTGATCGAATCAATTTATGGTAGATTGTCTGTATGCCTCCTCTGTCGAAAGCTTTTGTAAATATATGATTAAAAGCCCTCTTTATCGTATTTTAACCAAAATAAAACATAGTGATATGAAGGAGTTTGCGTTGATATTATCAAACAATTTGTTAAGTCCATACAGAGGCAATCAATGAAACTTTGATTACAGTTGGGTTTGGTTGAATATTCTGGTCTTTACACTACATTAAAATTTTACCTACTTCTATCATCGCCGTGTTCTGCCAATAAGAGTTGGGTTGTTTTTTTGTATCAGGCAATCAATACGACAAAAGTGGTATCGGGTGTTACAGAAAGGTTAAGCATACCATGCGTATTCTATATAATGTCTAATGTGTTATACCCGTTAATACTTATACCTATCTGGAGCTATGGCTTAGACCTGGTCCCGAGTTAACAAAGCATTCTCAGACTTAAGTTAACAATTTACTCGACTTTCAATCATTGTGTAAGAGAAATATCTTTGATCAAGAAACACAAAAATTTGCTCCTAGATTCGTATTGGTGTAATTGATACATTAAAACAACAGCAGTTTTATAAAGGGTTATATTTTAGTTAAAATAAGGCGAACATTTTTCGAGTAAATTCTTAACTTAAGCCTGAGAATGCTTTGTCAACTCGCGGCCAGAAAATTCATAAAAAGCGCAACATAAGTGTCAAGGGAAAGGGGAAAGAGAGATTTGCTATAAATGGACAATCTATAATTTTGGAAAATAATATTTTCAGTTTGACATTCTTTTAGGATTAGTGGTACTATATTTTATCAAAATTTTAAATGAACTGTAATTGACACATGATTTGATTCGTACCGATACAAAAGAAAACAATATATATATGAATAACGAACCAGTAGCTATTTTTTTTTTCTCCGTCGTATTTTCAGGTATCACTATTATGGAATAGGAATACGTGAAACCAGTCAATATTATCATTCTGTTTATTCTGGTAAAGGTTTAACAAGGTAAGTTTAGTTTAGTATAGGTCTGAAACGATGTGTTTTGTATGGTAACGGTTTAGCACGATGATTTTGTTTGGTAAAGGTGATCACTAAGTGTGTGTTCACAAGTTCATTCTGGTAATGGTTTAACACGATGAGTTTATTTTGGTTAAAGGTTAACACGACGAGTTTATTCTGGTAATAGCTTAACGTGATTAGTTGCTTTATTCTGGTTAAAGTGTAACACAACGAGTTTATTCTGGCAATTTTTTAACACGGTAAATTTATTCTGGTAAATGTTAACTCAATGAGTTTATTCTGGTATTTATTTAACACGAAGGGTTTATTCTGGTTAAATTGTAACACGATGAGTTTAGTCTAGTCAAAGTGTAACACGACGAGTTTAGTCTAGTTAAAGTGTAACACGACGAGTTTAGTCTAGTGAAAGTGTCACACGATGAGTTTAGTCTAGTTAAAGTGTAACACGATGAGTTTAGTCTAGCGAAAGTCTAGTCTAGTTCACACGAGGAGGTTAAAGTGAAACACGATGAGTTTAGTATGGTAATTGTTTAACACGACGAGTGTAGTATGGTAATTGTTTAACACGACGAGTGTAGTATGGTAATTGTTAACTCGATGAGTTTAGTTTGGTAATTGTTGAACACGGCGATTCAATATGGTTATTGTTTAACACGATGAATGTAATCTTGTTATTGTTTAGCACGATGAGTTTAGTCTAGTTAAAGTGTAACACGATGAGTTTAGTCTAGTTAAAGTGTAACACGGTGAGTTTAGAGTCTGGTCAAAGTGCAAAAAGATGATTTTAGTAAGGTAATGGTTTAACACAATATTCTATCACGAGTTCGACTAGAAACTTAGGGATATGATTTAAGTAGCTAAGAAATATATATTTAATACACTATAATCAAGTTCAAATAATTGTGACATCTTCATTCGTCCTTTGATCTAAACTTTAGAGTCCTCGCGAAACCAGACTACATGTAGCCTGTCTGTGTAACCCACAAAAGGGATATCAATTAATCATTTATATTTACCAATACATAAGACCTTTTATCTATATTTTAGATTTTCTGGGGCCAAGTTAAAAAACGAGGTAAGGCGGCAAATTTACATATTTATTACATTTTCACTTTTATGGAAACCGTTATACCTTTTGATCAATAGTAATTCCCAGGTGTTTGTTTCGCGGATTTGTATTTTATAACATACCGAAATCTGTGAAGTTAAATGTAAACCATGATTTTATATTTAAATATTAAATAAAAACGATTGAAACCTAAAAAATATATCATGCTATGAATTGTCAATTATGACTTAGATCAAAGAATATTATTAAATACTACGATATCAGATTTCTAAAAATAATTGAAAAGTCTGCAAACTGAACTAAACACGTTTCATTTATTTTAAGCATATAATATGTGTTTCTGATTTCTTTTTATTATTCAAATTATGTGTGAACAATGAAATTAATTGTGTAAATTATATATAAAAGAGTTAATGTCTTTTGATGTTGATATATATATTTTATTTCACATGGACGTGTAGTCGTGCACTTTGATTTTATTTTTTATTATTGGAAAATAATCCGTCTTTCAATATTTTAATGGAATTGTTTAACCTTTTACATATTAAATCAACAACTTTATTTGGTTTCGAATTGTTAATTTTTTAAAAAAGAGATTTTAACTGTGTATGACCATGGTCCGGAACCATAAAACTTGAAATCATACCTTGATACTACATCTTGAATTTATACCTTGATATCACACCTTGATGTTATAATTTGATTTTACACCTTGCTATTACACCCTGATATTACCCCTTGATATTACACCCTGATATCATACCCTGATATTACACCTTGATATCATACTTTGATATTACAACTTGATATTATATCTTGATATCACACCTTGATATCATACCTTGAAATTACACCTTGATATCATACCTTAAAATCGCACCTTGATATTACACTTTGATATAATATCTTGATATCACATATTGATATTATATCCTGATATTACACCTTGATCTTATAGCTTGATATTATACCGTGAAAACTTGCAACAAGCGATTGCTATTTTTTATATAAAACTTGAGTGGATTAATAAAAAGAGTGTGATGACCCAATTTATTTATTGATCACAGTAATATACCTTTAAGATCAACAGACGTCCATTGATATTTTGTTCATTGTTTTATATGCTAATTTTAACAATTTTCTATGTTGCAGGGTGGATTTACGAGGAAATATTCTCTAAGTTCTAAGACAGGAACATTATTACCAGACTTTCCTAATGCTAATTTTCTCATTTTACCATTATCACTACCTCGAGAAAAGGTAAGTTATAATAAATTCTCTTTTCACGTGGTGTGGTAGCGTGGGGTGCAAGTCGTTACTGGTATAAAGTGTGTCGCCATATTTTTGTACGAACATAACCAGTTTCCTTTATAAATACGTAACTGTTCATAGATAAGGATCAGGGTCCCCTTGCACGTGCACCGGGAGCAAACAGAAGGGAGATAAGTCTAAGATTTATGTGATTGATTTAGTTTCGTATAAAATGCTATCAGACAGTGATATTGAATTTGATAGAAATTAATCGTCAACTGTTGATAAGGATGTTGAAGGCTTGCGTTATAAATGGTATTTTAACGTTATCTGTGTTATACGGTAAAATTACTTTTAGTTCGTTATCAGAACCAAGTCAACAAAGTCTGTTGATTCAACTTGATATAAATTCGTGCCCCATGAAAAGCGAAACACATCGTATCTCCATTTATCAAACCTCTATTCCATTACCAGAAAATCTTTCATCAATAGTATCTTAATCTATCACATGACAAACTTTATAAATCAAACAATTGAACTTTGCCCATTTTAAACATGCCAATGACACATACAGTATCCTTGCATATCTTCAAACACAAAAAATAGTCTGTTATTAAATTTGTTGTGTGACTTGTATAGGTGAATTTTTGTATCTGAATAAATACAGATTTGTTAGTTGGTTTTTTTTTTTATTAAACGTAGATAAAACTTCTGATTAAATAAAAGCTAAGGTTATCTTTTTAAGCGCCCTAGCGATCTTCATGATAGGTCAACAAGTAAATTGAATTTAAAATCGTGAGAAAGGACACGCGACAGTTCTTTCTCCGCAGATGTGGCAACTTCCTAACTTGCACGTTCTCGGAGGGTGACAGACATATATGTTATTATGAGCAAAAAAGGTGTACGACTCCTAATTCTCTATTTCATCCACCCTCTCTTTTGTTTGCCAATTATTGTTGACTTTCTGGTCTTGAATTGAAGAAGGATGGTTGATTTCATATTTTCTGTCCTATTTTGGTGAATATTCATGATTGTGTGGGGGATGGGTCAAGGTGCAAACGGCCATTAGATTTCGCTTGACCTCACCCAAAACAATTCGAACCGACCACACCCCTTCAATATTTTTATTATGGGCATATGTGCATGAAAGAAAATTATAGGCAAAGAAATGGCATGGTTTTAACCCCTCGTTCTTTTTTTATATTATCGACTTCTGGGAGATTCTCAGTGTCTGAACCATGCTACAAAATACTTTCCCCTCGATTTGTGATAGAAATTACTTTGCCATTATGACCAAACACTTGACTCTCCAATCTAATTTGGTCTAGTACCTGCTTGACGATAACGCGGACATAGTTTATGGCGGGCGCGTGCAGACAATTTCGTCTCCAGCGACCAAAGAGTTCATATTTTGGGCGCCATGTTTAGGGTTGGTAAAATCAACAGGATTAGTCGATTGATGTATTTGAGAAAGACATTGTGATAAGTTAAACCCCAATCCCCTTGAAATATTGAAACAATTCACCACACAATTTATTGTTTGTCGTCTAGTTGTATACCACGCTTTTCTGGATTACCCTAGATTCTCCTTGCAGAACTCAGTTATTACAACAACTCACTTGGGTATTTAGCAATGGGAGGAAGCCGTAGAACCCGGAAAAAATGTGAAGCACAAAACCCCACTCCTTGTCAATGCGCAAGAAATGAAATGAAATGAAATGAGGTTTAACGTCCTACTGTTCTGCTCCTACTGGGATAATGAACAGGGTGTAGGCCATGTAGTGTGCTATCTATGACGGAAATTTTGCACGGACAGCGGCGCTACGGCATACCCTTATTTCGAATTAAAACTGCCAAAGGTTCTTTTCGGTCCATCCGAACGACTATACGTTGTTTCTTGCCGGGCCCTCCATCCTACACCACTGATCAGGGTCAACCACGCCGGACAATCCCGATGTATTTTCTCGACCAACGCAGGGATGGAACACGGGACCTCCAGGTTAGTGAGCCAACGTCCTGCTCACTAGGTCACAATGATCTAAAACGCAGGTGTTTAACTACTCGGCTACCCAGCCCGATTTCAAATCAAGTGCATAAACTTGACGAAGATTATTTTATAACTTGAACATTTATTAAAGTTAAACATGCATTTTGCTAGAGCTAAATCTGTCAATTGCAGGTCTTTCTTTAGGTCTGAAATGTTATCTAAATTAATAATCAGACATTAATTAACTTATCCAGACCATAATTAACTCTCGATGCCTGAGATTTTTTAGAGGATTTGAATACATTATGTGATGGATAATTTAACATAAAAAATGGATAATTGAGACTTTGTTGATAAAAGAAACAATGTTAGTAATGATGGTCGAGGATAGCCGAAAATTGAATCGTTAATATCTTGGTTCAGAGTGAAGCAATTGGGTTGAAATTTTCAGCATTTTCTGTTTTAATCATCCATATTTTAACTATTATAGCGAGAACTGTCAGCTCTTTATCTAATTTTACCTAATGCCCTTATATTTGTCTTAAAAACAGAAACAACACACTTTAAAATTATTTCCATATTCTTATCAACACTATTTCTTTGAATTGTGACCGAGTAAAAACTGAAGAACCGTCTTGAAAAGATAATCGTTTTATGTTGATTATAAAATCAATATTTGTTCGTTTTCTTAAAAAAAAGTTAAATATGAATTCGAGTTTGTTTATCCTAGTGTAGATAAAGTTGTTATCAATATGCCTTATGTAATGACCGAGTCCTAATGGAGTTAATGGAAGACGTCTAACAAACAACGAATTCAAGCCCATTAAGACAAGACCTGTGTCAGCTAGACTAGTAGGTTGATTATCTATCTGAACACTGATAACAACTAGAGTTAGTTTGTCCTGCTTTAATCTTTCTTGTCCGTGAAAATATACACATAGGCATAGGTTTAAAACGAAATAGGGTTCATTCATTCATTCATTCATTCGTTCACCAAGTTATTCAGTCAATCAAACAATACATACATAAGGTTAAAAATTTTTAAAAAATGTCATGCGAATCCCCCCCCCCCCCAGATATTAAAAATCAGTACCAGTGGTTCTAGCATGAGTAGTGGGGTGGGGGCTGAATGGTTAACGTGTGCGCGTTGCATCATAAGGTCTGTCATTGAGTCAAGTGTCGTGGTCTGTATGTGGCAAGGAGTAAGTTCGCCTATCCAACCTCGTACCGGGAATCCTCGTATTTAAGCCCATGGGCTTAATAACGAGTTTAAATTTCGAATTGAAGCCCATGGGCTTAAATTCAAAATTTATTTTAGAGTGGCACTGATGATTGTAAGATCTGATTTGTTCAAAGAACTTTGAAATTTAAAGTTTATGAACATTTTCTTTTTGTATTTCAGAACATTTATGTGACGGTGTATTACAATTGTGTTTTAAAAACCATTTTTGTTAATGGATTTGATACGTTCCATTTAAAATTATAAAAATAACCCAAATGTTTGTCATTTTTTCCTCTTTTCGAATTTAAGCCCTGGGCTTAATTTCAGAAGAAATGTTTCACTACTAAACATGGTCAAATTTGAAATTAAGCCCAGGGCTTAAATACGAGAATTCCCGGTAGGTTTTCTCCGAGTTCCCCGGTTTCCTCCTACTGCTAAAGACTCCTACGCACAATGAAATAAAATTGAATCATATATGAGTCCCAAAATGACCTAGTTTGTGTCAAGTGGACGTTAAACCTCATTTCTCTCTATATATCATGAGTAATCATTCGGTGACTCTTCAAAAACCGAAACTAAGTTAAATGGATTCCATTTCCAATACTTTTTTGATTATTAAACTGTAAAATATACGTTTCACTTTTTCATCTTGGTGTTGTGCAAAAATATTATCTCTCTTACGCCATTACATCCACATTTAAGTGACTTTACCAAAGCCGTATATAGGGCTTTGGACTTTACAACTAAATGACGTCATCAGGGATAGGACTAATACAGATCCTAATAAATCCATCAGACTCCATAAATCTAGTAAAGTGGACTTCCTGATTGACAATCGGTAGACAAATTCATAACACGAAAATCGCACGTACGATTAGCGAGTGACATAGTTGACGTATTATATGCCGTTCAGATGGCTACATATAAGCTAGTTTAAAAACCCCAGAGTGTGGAGTTCATTGAAAGCGAAACCAGATAACAATTCTGACAGCAGTATATATTTAATTACTCGATCACACATATTATCTTTTTTGAACCGCAAATTTCCACAAAGTGCGCAATCTAGATGATAGTTATAGAGCTGGAGTTAGTAGTTTGTTTTCCCCATATTTTTACATAAAAAAAACACGCACGTGCATATCTAAAATATCGAGAGCAACTAGTTGATAGTCAATTGCTATTGGCTATAAAAAAATCCCAAAGCATAAATCAATTCGTGTTTTGTGGGATATTTTTTTTTTTCTATTATTGGTGAATAAAACCAAAGGCTATCTTCTAAGTTTCAAGAAACTCGGGGGAAAAACAATTTTAAATTGCGAGAAAAAAACATATAACTATTAACTTTACAAATATAATCGCACATTTCCATAATTACACTAATTTTGGGGTGGACACTTTTTGTCAGCACTTTATTATGATGCTTATAATTAGTGAATTTAATGTGAAACGTTTTGGAAATGAAATGAGGTTTAAATTCTTAACCGACTTAGCCAATGACGACGTTGTGGAATTGTATATTTCAGAAATCGAAAATTACTGTGGTTGGTCCATAGGCTAGACTAAGATTTCATTTCCATTTCATTGTTTTTCATTCCTTTTTTTCTCATGTTTATATTAAGATAAATTATGTTATTGTATTTGTATAGGTGGAGACGTTTATTATGATGTATAAAACACACTGTCAATGTATACTAGATACAGCCATTAATGCCAACTTCGAAGAGGTTTGTTTTTCTTTTATATTATTTCATTGTAAATCGTTTGATAGACGGGATATCACAAGCTGTAAATAACATTATAAGATATGGATTAATGACCATTATGAATATCTAATATGACATTCACACCCCTTGTTATACTTGGAGAGATTTTTTTAAAACAAACATTAAAATTTGCGGTTGAATCGAATAAACAGCAAGTTGGCCAAGAAAGTATTTCGGGATTTTCCAGGCTGTTCTTTCTTGGCACCCAAAAACAGATATGAAAAGAAAAACTGTTGCATACCACCGGTAACACAATAAGATCTCCTTTCAGTAGAAAAAAAGAAGAAAATCGAAATATGACTAGCCCGACGCGCCGCTGACAGGACAAAATGGCCACCATAAGTTCGTAGCACACTGCGTGGCGTACGTCTGCCTTTATTAGCCCCGTTGGTGCAACAAAGTAGGACGTTCACCCGCGTTTCATTTCATTCCATTTCTGCCAATTGATTTAATTTCATTTTAAATGAACAACAATTCGCAGTTCACAATCCATAAAGGAAATAGAAGAGACATAGCACAATTGATCTTATTTAGCAACACCCCCGTTCCAATATGATGATAACGATGAATTTTTGATTCAAGTGACTGCATATTTTTTTTTGTAGATTCAGAATTTTTTGCTCCATTTCTGGCAAGGTTTACCGGAACATCTTCTACCGCTGATTGATAATGGTGTTGTTGTTGATATTATCTGTGTCTGTGATTCTATACTATATAAGGTAGTGTATACGTCATTCTACACTATATAACGTAGTGTATACGTCATTCTATTTATAAAAAGTAGTGTCTACGCCATTTTATGCCATGTAAATTAGTGTATACCCCATTTTATGCCATGTAAAGAAGTGTATACGTCATTCGACACTGTAATATAAGGTAGTATATAAGTAATTCTACATAATATGAGATAGTGTATGCGCTATTCTAATGCAAAGTAAGGCATACGTCATTCTACACTATATAAAGAAGTATGTGTATACGTCATTCTATGATTAAAGTAGTTGATACTTCATTCTACACTATATAATGTTGTGTATACGCCATTCTATGCTATACAAGGTAGTGGGTACGCCATTCTACAATGGCACAGACACCACGAGCGGAAGTAAACTTACATTCCCTTTCATCCATCAGTTGAAATCATTTTTAACAGTTTTTTCTAAAACAAACGGTCCAATTATATGTTTCAGGTCTTAACAGAAGTTCTCATTCCGGCTACCATGCAAGAAATGCCTGAAACGTGAGTAGTTTCAATATTTAACACGCACACAAACGTAAACAGTAAACACCATTATCCTTATCTATGAACCTGTTAACGATATCAAAGGTAGATAATCCCACGGCTTTGATTCAACCGGATTAACATTAATCTCGTTAAACACTTATAGGTAGCACTGTCCTGTTATATTGTCTGTAGGGGGTGCCGGATGTTGGAACATTTTTAGTTCATCATATCTATGTAAATACTGAACGGAACCAGAGTTCACGTCATTGTAGTTTGAAAGAAAATCAAAATCCTCCAAATGACGATCGGTGGCTTTAACCTGACGACAATTTAGTTCCCCGGGTGTTTATATCGTCTGCTGAATCTTTGGAATTACTGAACGGAATTGGACCATATTTGGATAGATATCCAGCTTTCACGATATTGTAGTTTTCAGGGGATTCAAAATCCCTCAAATCCTGATCAGTGGCTTTAATATATTTGAACATTTTAACGATTGAACTGAGCTAAATATCATTAGGAGAGGAGCTTTATAAGTGAATTCACTTGTCTCTCATGCCTTTAATGATCTATGATCAATAAAATATGTTTCAATTTAAATTTATTGTTTCAGTTTATTATGTGATATCAGAAATTTTGCTAAACATTGGGAGAGTTGGGTGGCTTCCGCTCTCGAGAACTTACCAGATCACGTGTTAGAAAATAAACTTCCGGTTGCTAGAAGATTTGCTCAGGCGCTGAAACGTCAAACATCATTTTTACACCTAGCTCAGGTAAAGTCACCCAAATTTTTCTGACAAAAGTAATCGATAGTGTTAAAAAAATCCCTGCATTTACCTCATAATGATATACCAGATGTCGTGGTAAAGTTACACCTAAACAAATACACAAAGCACAATAAATATATATCGTATGGCGTGGTAACGTTACACCCAAAACAGTTGCACAAAGCGCAATAACGTTATACCATATGGCGTGGTAACGTTACACCCAAAACAAAGACACAAAACACAGTAAATATATACCATATGACGTGGTAACGTTACACCCAAAACAAATACACAAAGTACAATAAAGTTATACCATATAGCGTGGTAACGTTACACCCAAAACAAAGACAAAAAGCACAATAAAGATATAACACAAGTTAGTCGCAAAATGACCAAATTAAGTTACATGGACGTCAAACACATTTCCCTATTTTCTCCCTTCTCTGCACAAGCATATCTGTGGTTATTTGTAGAGATACCATAAGATACCCACCAGAGAGAGAGAGAGCGAGAGAGAGAGTGTGTGTGTTTAATGTCCACTCGACACAAACTAGGTAATTTCGGGACTAAAAGCGATGTAGAGATTTTAAGGTCTAGTCGATTATTCATTCGTAATTCAAATTTATGGACACACATTACTAGATTTAGTAATCTTTGTTTCATATGTTCGTAGTAACGGGCGTCATGTCTATTTTGTTTCAGACATCAAGACCAGTTTTATACGATGCCCAGTTGGTAAATCAGATGATAGCTGATGTTGATAGAATAGATTTAAACAGTATTACGTCACATGTTGTATGTACACAGAAAGATTGCGATCAAGATATAGAACTAAACGCTGAATGTAAGTTTTTGACATTCATCTTATTATTGTCCTGCGTGGTTTCAGATGTTGTTATTGCTTGTTTATATATACTCTTCAAAAAATGTAGGAGATATTGAAATGCAAATACCTATGCAGGTTGTGATATGATAAATAGTCATGGACATTTGACATGCTTTGAGAGTATATTCACAGATGAAGAACGTATCGCCCCAACAGAACCACTGAGCTGCACATGCGACACGCAATAGCGCCATACACGTGGGAGGGGTTCATTGTCAAATTTGACACTTCAAGGAAGGGTTGATGAAAACTGTTTAGCGTCTCTTTGCTTTAGTTTGTTACGTTTAATTTGATCAGGAGACTGTTCGACGACGTCAACGTCAACCGACAACACTGCAAGAATTGACCGTGGCACTGCAAGAGGAGTGGGTCAGATTGCACCAAATCGTGATTAGGAACATGCCACGACGAATTACTTAATGTCTGAGGATTGGTGGAGGAATTACTCATTATTGAGAAAAAATCAAAAACGTCTATTACACTTTTGACGGTGTATCTCTTTGCGAGTGAAATGGGGCCGTCAGATAAGCCGCCCATATGAACTGTTTATGTTCATGTGTAGGCAATTGGCCTGTTTTTAACATACACTGGTTACCTCTAATAAAAACAGCAGTGCATTTCAACAGTTTTGTATTGTTTCTGAAAATCTCCTACATTTTTTGAAGAGTATATAATGATGGTCCTACACATTTGGTCCTACACATTTACTATACTTGCTTTGATTTAGTAATTGTTCTAACACAGGATTGGGTTATAATTTATTACTCTGTCTAGTTACTGGGAGGTCGCATCAGGGCATTTGACCTATTACGTAAGACATTGATTAATCAAACAGCGTTGACGTTTCTAGGAGTGTACCCCGAGTTGACAAGACAAGTAAACCACAATTTTGAACTATAAAAAAGAAACGAAATAGGATCTGTATTTTAATCAGTTGATATTCTTGTGAAGGTCCGAAAGGTCAGAGCCCTATTTCACTGGTCAAATTATCTGTCAACCATTATGTTAATTATCGGTGTAGTAGTCTGATAGAACACACTAAATCATTCTACTAACTTCCGGTATGGTTGAACACACTAAATCATACTACCAACTTCCGGTAAAGTAGTCTGTTAGCCATCCCTAAAGCGTGCTACTAACTTCCGGAATAGTGATCTGGTAAAACTCCTAAGGCCCATTTTAGATTTCGTCATAGGTCACGAGATGTAAATAGGGTTAGGGCTAAGGCAGCAATCTTTCAGCCTTTACCCACAGAACTCAGTAAACCATTCTGCTGACGTCCGGTGTGATAGTCTGATAGAACACTAAACCGTTCGACTTACTTCTGGTAGGAACGATTTCATATAATGATAAGTGTGGGTTTTTGCCTTCTAGTTTTAAGAGAATTTAAAGAAATTTTAAGAAAACAGGCTACAGTGGAAGCTTTTACAGAATGGCTGGATATGGTGGTTGAACAGAGGGTTGTTAAAGTATGTATGAACTTTACTACTTCTCTCTATATAAAATAACTTTACTACATCTATCTTTCTCTATATAAAAAAAACTTTACTACTCCCTCTATATAAAATAACGTGATCCACAAACAACACCTCTTTCAATAAAATAAGTTTACTACTTCTCCCTCTATATAAAATAACTTTACTACTTCTCCCTCTATATAAAATAACTTTACTACATCTCCCTCTATATAAAATAACATCACTACATCTCCCTCTATATAAAATAACTTTACTACATCCCTCTCTATAAAATAACTTTACTATATCTCCCTCTCAATAAAATAACTTTACTACATCTCCCTCTCAATAAAATAACTTTACTCCTTCTCCCTCTATATAAAATAACTTTACTACATTTCCCTCTATATAAATAACTTTACTACATCCCTCTCTATAAAATAACTTTACTACATCTCTCTATAAAATAACTTTACTACATCTCTCTATAAAATAACTTTACTACATCCCTCTCTATATAAAATAACTTTACTACTTCTCCCTCTATATAAAATAACTTTACTACATCTCTCTCTATATAAAATAACTTTACTACATCTCCCTCTATATAAATAACTTTACTACATCCCTCTCTATAAAATAACTTTACTACATCTCTCTATAAAATAACTTTACTACATCCCTCTATATAAAAAAACTTTACTTCATCTCTCTATAAAATAACTTTACAACGGCTCTCTCTCTCTCTCTCTCTCTCTCTCTCTCTCTCCTCTAAAATAACTTTACTGCATCTCTCTCTATAAATTAACTTTACTACGTCTCTCCATATATAACTTTACTACACACCGCTCTATATAACATAACTTTACTACATCTCTCTATAAAATAACTGCATCTCTCTCTATAAAATAACTTTACTACGTTTCTCCATATATAACTTTACTACATACCCCTCTATATAACATAACCTGATCCTCAAATTTAACTAAATCTGTACAAAAGGGGGGGGGGGGGTATATTTATTCTTTCAAATGGATGATAACACTTTTCTTTTTTACCCTTTATTTCGTTTGGTTTATTGATTCTGCGGTTTAAATGACATGTATATGTACATAATGCAATAGGGATACTTGTTTTTGGATGTCAATCATAAGACTTGAATTCTGTTTTAGTCTATGAAATATTTAAAATAAAATCAGGGCTTAAAATCTTTTTCAATTTAATCTCAACGAAGGTTCAATAAGCACGTGACGTCCATCACAATCTTGCGCTTTTTAACGTTTGAACGAGATTTTGACAGTTTCAATTATCGCGATCAAGTATATCTACAGAGGGAGTTTTTTCTTTCAATAATCCGCCTAACTTCTAAAGATAAACTCGCATACATTCAATTTTTTGGTACAAGGCACAGCAAGGTAAGAGTGGTGACTCATTCGGGTTCATTACATAGACTTCACACAGTAAACATGCGTCATTCGTGTTGATTACATAACTTCACACATTGCGTTTTATCTACTACACAGAGTGTATATGCACACTCGGTAATACAGGGGATAAAAAGGGGTCGAAAAAGTACGAAACTGCCACTACAATATTATAAAGCACTACTGACTTACACTCACTATGGTTATGAGATCAAAGCTACTTTCTTATGACGTATTTACTAAATGCAGATTGTGTTTTGTTCTGCAAATGTTTAATCAATGCGTGGGGTTCTTGAATACCCCCTTCAAGATCAGTGTTCAAACACTCCATCCGGGTGTTGTACAACTATCTAAAACTCTGTGGTATTTTATCATGTACATCTATCTAAAACTATTTATTCTAGTCTTGTACAACTATTTAACACTCTGCGATGTATGTGGTATTTTATCCGAGTCTTGTAAAGCTATCTAAGACTCTGTTTATAGTTTTGTACAACAATCTAAACGCCTGTTGTATTTTATCCAAGTCTTGTAAAACCATCTAAAACTCTGTGGTATTTTATCCGAGTCTCGTGAAACTACTTGTACAACTATCTCAAATGTAACGTCCTACCTGTGTCCACCGACAGTGCTAATAACGAAGACAGGCATATGCCATACATTCTGCCATGAGGAAAAGTATGCCTGGTCAACGGCACTACGACCTACTCTTATTTCGAATTCTGCCAAGGTTTCTTTTACGTGAACGCCAGTGTGTACGCGGAAAATCGGTTTCAGACACTGGCCTTGCCCTCCGCCCTACACCACTGACAAGGGGAAGCATATCGGAAATTCCCAAGGAACTTTCTTGGCCAACACCGAGAGCGAACCCGGCTTTAGCGAGCTTCTTACTAACTGAACCGTCTCCGACCACTTTAATTAAATTATAAGAACCGTCGTTACTATAACATGAATATATTAGATTATAGTAACCGTCTGTTAATTAATGAATATATGGTTAATTTGATTATAACGACGGTCTTTACTCTGGAGGAACATATTTGTTATTTGTAAAATATTCATGAACAACCTATCGTCATTTATGTCTTCTTTTTTAGCCGAGTAAACAAAATGGCCGATCGTTTAAAAAACGAGCACAGGAGTATTTATTGAAATGGTCGTTTTTTGGAGCCAGAGTCATGCATAATTTAACCCTTAATAATGCCACAGGATTTGGTAAGTATTAACAAAGCTTGTTTTAAAAACTGTACAATTTTGTGTAAATTTCGTTTCGTTAATTCCATACTTCGACATATACAAATTGTTTCATTGTCATCGCGTGCATTTTGCATACCGATAGTTCATTGGCTTATCTCCCTGATAATATCTACTACATCGTTTACACAGTTCATCGCGTGCATTTTGCATACCGATAGTTCATTGGCCAATCACGCTATTTTACCGACATTTCGCCTAATAGTTTGGATGCAGCTATGGCGGGTGTGGCGCCAGGCAGGGTAGGCTTACTCTTCCGGCACCTGTTACCACTGTTTGTCGTGTAATTTGTACACGAGGAGCAGTTCATTTGCTGATTACACTATTTTGCTTGAATACACTCTTTTGCCTATAACGTTTTTTAGGACTTCGAATTCTGTCTTATGGTTTGGATTGTTCGTACTTGGTTTTATTTTATTAGTAATCGAACTAGAAATAAACAAGGTGTAATTCTATAGAATACAATTACTTACCATATGATATTGCTGGATGTTATTGCAAAAGATACAATTCAAATAATCTTTGAAACCTAGTCGAAATGCCGTTCAGTAATAAACAGTAATTATTAGATGTATTTTGTATTTTTTTTTTTGAGGATCGTTTTATCCAGTAAGAATGTTGTTGTATTTTGTATTATTTTCAGGATCGCTCGATATGATAAGAATCTTGTTCTATTATTTCAGAGTCAATGTATCTAGTAAGAATGCTATAAGATGTATTTTGTATTATTTTCAGGATCGTTCTATATATCGTGTTGTATTTTGTATTATTTCAGAGTCAGTTTATCTTGTAAGAATGTTATAAGGTGTATTTTGTATTATTTAAGGATCTGTCTAGTAAGAATGTTGTTGTATTTTGTATTAATTTCAGGAGAAATTTGTTAGATGTATTATGTATTATTTTCAGGGTTGTTCTGTCTATCAAGAATGTTGTTAGATGTATTATGTATTATTTTCAGGATCATTCCATCTAGTAAGAATGTTATTAGACGAGTATGTTCTATTGGCTATTGAATCACAGTTACATAACGAGAAGGAACAGGAATTACAATCTCTATTAGATAAACATATGAAACCAGGTAAATAGAAACACTGATTTTTGTTTTACAACTTCTAGAACACCTGATACCACTTCCCATTTGAGGCAATCGGATAATATGCTTACTCAAGAACATCTGATACCACTTCTCTTTTGATGAGTTCACACAGTATGCTTACTACTTCTAGTACACCTGATACGACTTCTCTTTTGAAGAGTTAACAAGGTAATTTACCCTTTCGCGAACACTGATAGTGATACCACATCTCCTTAGGGACTTTAAATTACTCACATGCCGCTATAGCTTAGTTTAAGAATTTCAACTTTTGCACAAGAACACGGGAGATAACTCTCATAATAACTATTAGGGTTAATACTAGTAATAATCTTCTCCCCATTGACTTTAATGTGAAATCCATGCAACTCCTATAACCACCATCATTTATTTCTGTAGACTTCTTATTTATTGTAATATTTCCCTTGGCATTTGGAATTCGATATAAGAGTAATCCGTAGTGCCACTGTCCGGGCAAAATTTCACTCATAGCACACTGTTTGGCGTATGCCCATCTACATTCGCCCGGTCGGAGTAGAACAGTGGGTCCTTAAACCCTTATTTCATTTTATTTCCTTTATTGTACTATTGTATTTCAGACGATACAGGATCGAAACCTAACTTATCACAAGCCCCTAGTACGTGTTTTGTGGCGAGTTCTGGAAGAAATAATCTAGCCAGAGGGATGGTAGGCAACCCGGTGAAACGAGAACAATATCTAGATCCTAGTTTCCCTCCAACTTACAATCCTCTACAACCCGGTCGTGATCCATATCCTATATCACCACATCTCTCATCACTTACATCAATCACGCAGGTAAGTCCAACCCCACGCGAAGTCAAGGAAGATAAGTGAGTAAGACGCTGACTCGCTAGTGTGGAGGTCACGGGTTCGCTCTCGGTGTTGGCCGAGAAAGTTCATCGGGAGTTTCCGGCGAAGTTTCCTCTTGTCATTGATGCAGGACGAATGTCCTGACAAGGACAGCTGTCTAGTCGTTCGGATGGGACGTGTACACATTGGCGTCCAAGTAAAAGATCCCTTGACAGTTTGAATTCGATGTAAGAGTAGGCCGTAGCCTTTGATCCTCTGTGATTGCATTTTTTTTATTATTCTCTTACAATACATTTAGGGGAGTCGTTGAACATAATTGGAGAGTAGAAAGTGTTAAAACACATTTAGGGAGAGGATTTAAAAGTTGTGGAACACATTTGGGAGAGGCGTTGGCGTTTAAACACATTTAGGGGAGGATTTAAAAGTTGTTGAACACATTTGGTAGAGGAGTTGAAAGTGTTAAAGTCCATTTGGGAGAGGCGTTGAAGTGCTTAAACAGGGGAGGAGTAAAAAGTGTTGAGCACATTTAGGAAGGAATTTGAAATTTTGTTGATCACATTTAAGGGAGTCAAAAGAGGTATTGGTCACATTTTGGAGAGGAGTTGCAAGTGCTGTGTTTCATCTGCATATGGGTGTGATGTAGACCATCTGTGTTATTATTTCTGTGTTTTATATTTCAGTCTGTACCTGGAAGTAATTCCATGTTAACACCACCTGTATCACCTATAGTTCCCAATCCAATCAGAAAACAGGTTATAAATCAACCACCATTATCTTATAATGGCGGTCATCAGTCATCCATCTTGTCACCGTCATCCTATCAGTATCTTGGTAAGTGGATATCATTAGACATCAAATTGAATAGACTGCTTATTCTCTGTTTCATGTTTCTATCTCCCGTATATCTTGATTAAAACACATTTCTTTATAGTGCGCTTTTAAGCTGTGATAGAGCGCCTAAGATCAACCTACAAATAAAAATCGTGATACAGAAAACTTGAAACCTTTTAAAGGTATGTTAGAGATTGGTGTTCACAAAAGGACGTAAGGTTAAACCAGTCAGCTTTCAGCACCAACAGAGCTAAGCTAATGAAGACGAACATACTCCATGCAGTGTACTATGACGGACACTTTGCCCGGAGTTCGGCTCTACGGCCTACTCCCCATTGTCCAGTGTTCTTTTACTTGCACGCCATCGTCTATACGCAACCTCGGTTTTCGTCCTTGCCAGGCCTTCCCTCATGCATCATTGAATTTCCTCGGTCGATACCGGATTATACCCGGATGGCCTGATTAGTAAACCAGTGCCATACTCACATAGGCACCGCGTTTTCATGCATGTTTTTATACTTTCTTATACGATGTGTTTTCAGGTCAACCGAGTGGAGGGTATGGTGGCAGTCAGAATTATCTGAATAGTTACAACACGAGTGCTTACGATGTCCCATACAGGAATCATTCTTACAATAATACATCACCATTTAATACCAAAGATCTTGATGCCTATACTTTCCCCGATCAACAGTTTCCTACGGAGCCTTTTTACCCACCCACTTTTGGGAGTTATCCTTCCACGGGACAAATAAACTATCCGTCAGGTAGCGCCCACAATCAGGGTAATAACGGAAGTGCTTTTGATGTTGTGTCCAGTTCATCGTATTTCAATTTGCCAAATTATAGCAATACAGGTAAATATGGTGTTTATAATTATCTGGGTACAAATTATCGAAACCTTGACAGTGGGGAAAAAGAAAGTCTGAGGTACCCCTGTCCAAATTCCAGGATGAATTCTGTCGTATTCAGCCTTTATGATTGCATATTTGGTTTTAAACGCATGATTGTTGTCTTGGGTAGTTGATATCGAACAAGAAAGTTGGAAAACTATTGTATGAGTTTTGGTTTAGTATTTCGATCCTCGAATGATACATGGCGCAAATGGCTGAGTTGACTTTTTTGAGCTTTGTAATCATGCACAACATGTTCCAATTAGCAAAGTAAGCGTATACAAATAAAACGTGATTTCTGGTTTAGTGGTGCCCTAGAACAGCCTTCCGCGTATACGACACTCTTGTACTTTTGCTCCTGAATTCTGATCTTTGAGTTTGTTGTACTTTTGCTCTTCAACCATTGGAGTCTGAACAACCAGGTCGGAAGCATCACTCCTTCGAGTTAAATACATTGACGCATTGCACTAGACAAGGTATACTTATTCTCTCTAGAGTACATGATCCTACTTCTTGACATTCGGCGTGTCCACATTCATATAGTAAGAATAGCCTTTTCTGTCTGATTCTTTAAAGAATTTGAATAGTTTATTTTTTTTTTTATCTATTTTCAGATATTTATTCCAACGTTTACTTGCCACCGAAACCATTAGCGGAGCACGTGTCAGTTATACAACAGAGAAACCCCCTTCCGTCCCAGTACCATAGTGAATTAACGGATCCTCTGAATCTCCTGGATAAACCCATGTTAAGACATAGAGATAGTGTATTAGTATATGGTGGTAATAGTCCAGCTAATTGTAATAGTCCACATCCAGGTATGTAATGAATACTCAGTATACTCGGGACCAGAGTGGTTTATTGGGTATGGCGCTTGCTCGCTAACCAGGTCCTCCAGGTTTTGATTCAGGTGTTGGCGGAGAAAGTTCTTCGGGAAATTCCAGCCTGGTTTCCCTTGCTAACGTCACAAGACGTCATCTAGTCGTTTGGATGGGACGAAAAACCGAGGACCTTGTAGTCGTTGACGTAAAAGAATATGCAAAATTTCCCTCATGGCACCCTGTATGGTGTGTATCTGTCATCGGTATCACGGCTAGAGCAGAAAACCGCATTTCATTTCACGTCATTTCATAGTACACTCATATTTACTTTATACCAAAGCAGATTTATTGATTTATTATTAAGGTGGTCACAGCTCAGTTGGTAGGAACCATCATCGAATTGCTCTATTCAAAAACATCTGTCTTTGCAATTTTAACCGTTCTTATTGGAGTTATCGCTCCTTTGACTTACGCCATGCAATGCAGTGACGATCTTCATCTACCTTCATAATGCTGCTGGTGGGCGTATATTCGTTGCCAGCCATTACGTTGACATATTGTTAACGTCTTTAAGTTAAAATGGAACATAGACGTCAAAATCGAAGAAGATATAAGAGCAATCCTCCTTTGGCAACCCCCAATTGGAGATTTTGTTTACATTAAGAGTGACTTCTAATGGATCGCACAACGGTAACTGTTGGAACAAAAAAGAAATGAAATGGGGTTTAACGTTCTACTTTTCTGCACCGACTGACCCATTTAAGGCATGGCAATCAAAGCAAAAACACAAACAGTACTGACAATCTAGAATATCCAAGTGACTGGTCAAGCCATATAAAAAGGAAGTATTTATATATTTTTTTCTGATGACGAGTTTATTTATATTTAGGTCACCAGCATCTGTCCAGTAGCCTAGGCGAGGATTTATTAACTATGGGAATAATGACCGGCGACCATGATATGACGTATACTGACCCAGAGCGACCTCTACCCTCAATCAATACTGTATTCATGCCGGAAGGCCACAAGGCGTGCTATTAACTTTTAAACACGGGAACAGAAACCCACAAAAGTAAAAGTTTGTATTTATTAATTTCACAAAAATGTGCGACATTCCAAAATCAATATGGTCTCATTAACAGACATTTAAGTATTCGTTAATGCGTGTAGCGTACGACACGCATAAACACGTTCGCCATTTGTAAATGGATTTCGGAGAAAGGAACTACTAGATGGAACGAGGTAACATGTAACCGAAGTTGCTAGTGATAAACACATCGTGGTAATACAACGACAGGGGTCTTGTCAAGGTATTAAAGGGAGGTAATTAGAATAAAGATTCCTGTACAAGGTCCAGTCGCCGCTCGCGTTCTCATCGTGTGGACAGTTCTGTTGTAACGGCCATTACCGGAACTCGACGAAGCTTGCTGGAAACTCAGCGGTTGTTATAAACAGAGTCTAGCTTGACGAAGCTCGCAGGAATCCACGGGATTGTTCGACACAGAGATGAACTTGTTATTATTATTATATTCAACGTAATTGTTATAAGGGTAATAGCGTCACATTAAATAATAGGGTAGATTGTTTGTGTCTCAGTTAAAACTAGGGTAATAAATTTTGATACTTCTATACGTATCTTTACAAATAATATACAATGTATGTGTAATATTTAATTGATGATGTGTTAATATATTAGTGTGTTTATTTTATCATGTATTTCATTTGAACATTAAAATCGCCATTCTCGTATTCTGAGGAAGTCACAGTGGTTTTCTCGCCTGGAGGCCAAGAAAGTTCATCAGGATTTCCCGGCGTGGTTTCCCCTTGTCAGTGGTGCAGGACGGAGGTGTATGGTGTAGGCCGTCTTCATTAGCCAAGTCAGAGCAGAACTGTGGGACGTTAAACCCCCATTTCATCTCATCTCATTTCGTATTCTGGACAATAGAGACGTTCAGATGCACTCCGAGAAGGGGCACTAGGTGATCCCCATTTTTGCATGCTACGCCATCACTTCTCGAGGACGACAGACGAACTCGTTTATGAAAACATCTCGGACCCTCCGATATCGTAAGTGAATTCCATGGTGGTTTAGTTCTATTTAAAACAATCTATTTCATAATTATACCGAACAACATCCCTTTAGAATATATGATAGAACGAATCGACACTTTCAAACCATGAATTTTTTGCTCTATTCACAATGAACTGAAAATCGCGTTTTGTCAAGAATGCGAATTTTTCTGAACCGCGAAAGTGCGTCACATATTCCGTGAAAGACGACGACTTCGCTTCCTTCTCGCTGTCGTTCTTGGAACGCATCTGAACCTTTCTAATAACTAATTTTTCACGATTAAATCCGCGTTATTGATTGATTATTTAACATCTAATTAAGATTTCAAAACCAAAATACCAACGACAGATAATCTCCCGGTTGGGATTCAACCGGTTTATAAAGGCGTTCATCAAAAGATTTAACATAATACTTATAGGCGTCGCTGGCTTGATTATATGGTCTGCAGGGGATGCCGAATGTTGGAACATTTTTAATTCATGATATCTGTGTAAATACTGAACGGATCCAAGATTCACAATTTTGTAGTTGGAAAGGAATTTAAAATGCTTCAAGTTATGGCCAGTGGCTTTAATCTGGCGATAATTTCGTTCTCCACTTCGACCTTCATACACATTTGTAACATAGTGTTTATTAGCATGTAATAAGGGCTGGGTCACACTAGTCGATTATCTTGAAGTTTTATGTGTATAGGACAAACCATTTCATGTGATTCTTTTTTGACCTACAGATAAAGCCTAAATGATAGAACCAGTCTTTTACACGTAGGATTGTTCCAACAAACTGACCGGTGCTTCTTCAAATTCAACCGAGAATAATAAGTTACAGGGTGTGCCCTTTAAAACTCGGACGTGTCTTCAATTGATCAACCAACTGGTGTGACTCTGCCTTAAATGTTTTTGTTCTCCTGTATTCGGAGCTGGATATAGATCTGAATTTTATTAACTCACAATTATCTTAGTTTTATGTCATTGGTCAAATCTTTATTTCTGTTTTGTATTTAACATATTTTAGCTAGGAATCTGTGTAATCGGTTCTGCGTGTGTACCAGTATGTACTGAAATGGTAAAAGCGGGACTTCCTGTATATGTAATAAATATTGCATATCAACCTCTACGTATATGGTAATATATTTGGGAGTCAAAAAAGACACACGGGTTCGCATAGTGTCCCCGTTAGGAATGGCTACCCGTGACAAAATAGTTAGCTAATTATAATATGGCGTCCATCTTGATTTCATTTGATGCTTTGATTTAGTTTCTGCAAACGGTCGCCAGTTTTAAGCCAAAATTTAACAAACATTATGCAAGAGCTAAATCTGCCTATTGCTGTCTTCTTTGGGCCTGAAATATAAATGTTATATAAACTATTAATTAGACATTTATTAACAGAACAAGACCATAATCAACTCTCGATAGCATCGGATACTCGAGATTTTAACTAGATTAGAACGGTTCGCTATTTAAAAATTTAATTTAAAGATGGGAAAGCGAGGCTAAATCTCGAATATACCAGTACCCTGGTTACCACTATGTATATATCTTGGCTCAGAATGAAGTAATTTGAACGAAATTTTCAATATTTTCATTTCACATTATCTATTTTTGAGCTATTATAGCAAGAATGGTCTGCTCTTTATCTAAATAAAACATAATGTGTCTTTAATAAACAAACATGTTTCATGTTAATATTGCCATATAAAAATATCTAATCGTTCAAATATTGGCCGATCTATAATATAAATATCACATCAGACCGCTCTAGTAATTCAACACTGTATTTTGATAAGCAAAGATATTTAACGGTAAGGGTGTAGCTAAAGTTTGTGTCGCCTAGGACGATCCTTCAAAATTACCAAAATGACTCAACCCCCCCACGAAACACATAGCCTTAAAATATTTTAGAAATTTCTGACAGTAAACGAGGTTTTCATGACCTGTGTACCTCTACTGTCCCGAAAGAAATGAAAAAAAGAATAGCTTATCCAGTGTAGTAGACTGAAAGTGCCGTTCCCCAAATATGTTCGGCCCTATACACCCTACCCGAACAACTAGGCAAGGTGTTCTTAGTTATTTAGTTCCCATTAAGGTTATTATGATAAATGTTTTAGTTGTAAATAATTTAAATAATGTAGTTTTGTAGAAAACTTTGTATTCAACTTGTAAACATTTTATTTATTATTGTGTAAATAATGATCATCTCATGCGTGTTATATCATAAATAGATTAAACAAGATGGCGGATATCAAGATGGTGGTGTGTGTTATTTATGGATTTTATTTCTAAAGTCAGGGGCCTGTTTCACGAAATTTTAACTAAGATAAAATCCAAATTTTAGTAATTTGATTGGATAATATTAGATTGATTTTAGTGCTTAGCCGATCAAAATTGAAGTATCTACTAAAATTTGGATTTTATCTTTAGTTAAGATTTCGAAAAACAGGGCCCTGGATTGGGTGACCGTGTTGACTAAGCATTATACGCCTTATGTTTTAAGGATCCAGGATTTTCAGATGGATGGAGGTGGGTCCAGAATTTCCTGATCCACCAAACTGAAGTGGTGTGATGTTATAGTGCCCCGGATAAGTTTGAAAAAGGGAACGTTGTAGATGCCATTTTCAAGTTGTTCGGACCCTGGACCAGACTGAGCCTTAGGAAGTGGGTTCTGGACCCTTGACCCGCTTTTACTGGCATCTATGCATGTGGTTTTAATTTTACGTTTTTGTGTGATAAGGAATAGGATCACCTGCCGACGAAATTTGTTTTTCTTCCTGGGTTCTAAAAGAAGACGTGTACAGTTGTGATGTGGTGTGTGAGTGGGTGTGTGTGTGGGGAGGGGGGAATGGTTAGCGCGAGCGCGCGGTTTCATAAGGTCTGTCATTGAGTCAGCTGGCGTGGTTTTGATTCCACGGTTGTACGTGACAAGGAGTAGGGTCGCCTGTCCAACCTCGTGGGTTTTCTCCGGGTCCTCCGGTTTCCTCCCACTGCTAAAGGCCCCTACGCACAAGCGAATTATTGAAACAAAATTAAACCCATATGTTAGTCCTGAAATGACCTGGTTTGTGTCGAGTGGACGTAAAACCCCATTTCTCTCTGCCTCTCTCCAAAAAGAAGACGTGCCCATTAAGACAGATATCCAAATTGAACGATATGCAAAAGGCTGGACAGTTTATGAAAAATTGTAAGATAAACAGTGTGTCAATTAATGGCAGAGCCATGTGAGCCATATTATAGATTTATTTTCCAAACAAACTTCTGCTGTGGCATAAAATTGCATAGGACAATTTGACTTTAACGTTAATAATCGGGGATGCTTTACGTCATGGGTTTGATTTTTGTGCTCACGTGACGTTTTGTGGCTCTTCTGAAATCGAATGAAATGATCACATGATTTCAACACTGCAATCATAATGCTCAACCAGTTTCAAACGTACACCGTGGCAATGAAGCGCTACAAATCGATTCTAATATATTCCACACAGTCCAAAATTTCACTGTGCCTCGAGGTGAGCACACCTCTGACCCCACCTCCTCCACACACCCACGATATAAATATTTGGATTTTATGTCCCCATGATTCTTGTATCTAATACAAAATCAACAATCATCAGGTCCTTGCAACGATGACAATATTGCTTTGTATTATTCTTTTATTTCAATTTAGAGAGTATTTACAATATACATAATAAATTTAACCTTTAACAGAGAAGAGTGAAAACAGAGAAAGACAACTCCTTCCAGGGACAGTGCTAGTACTTAAAAACATAAACAACCAAAACAAGCGATATATTATGCAAATGTGAAATAGGTCAGTGTAACAATAGATACAGGGTATATACATATACATACACATATATACTATATTATGTATGATAACAGTGAACTATGGACGGATAAACATGATGAAATGCATGAATATGATTCAAATAAAAATTCCCACTTGCCTAGTCGTTAGGATGGTACGAAAACCGAGAACATATTGGAGTACATATAAAAGAACCACGACATTTGGACATCAAATAAAAGTAGGTAGAAACTAGGTTGTCTCGACACATGTTTTTATATCTTTCATTGCACAGGTGATCATAGAAAAAAATCGTGTTTTAGTTTCAAAATGATCCATTTACGAGACGAGACGTTAGAACCCATTCCTATCAAAATTAAAGTCGAATACACATTAGTAGTTCAAATATAAAGTTTAAAGGATAAATTCGGAAAACTCGGCATAATAGAAAGTGGTAATAGGTGTTGTTCTCGAAGGGGTAAATACCCTGCCACGCACACAACAGCCATTAATATCATAGTACTTAATAGAAGTCCGGTAAGTATAGTATATACGAAATAAATTTGTTTTTTGTAGATAATATTTGATTGATTTTTTTTTCTTTAAATCTGTAAAACTCACAATTTACTTTTTTCTGAAACGAAACGTGAGTTTTTCGAAAGCTAAACCAAGCACCGAATTCAGGTGTCCGCCAATTTTACAATTTTGATACAAATACTATATTTAAACGTCTCAAATATAAATCCTTGATATATTTGCGATGATACCATCTGCAATAGAGGGTTGTGATACCTTCAAGGATGATTTCGCGATCGTTGATCCGTAAAAACGATATTAAGATTCTAAAATTCCTTACCATCAAGAAATATGACATTTGGGTCATTAACGATTATTTAATCATATAAAGCTAGAACATGATGGAATATACAATATACAATAATTATAAAGGATGATATACAAAAACTAAAATGTTTACAAACATACATATTGCACTTTATGTAAAAATTAACAAAGATAGGATTTCACAAGCAGAATATGGTGCTATTTAAACTCTTTACCAACTGAAGCAATGGTGCGATATGATGAGAACGTAGGCATTGTTCACTATTCCTTAAACAAAAACATTTCAAGAATGCAGCCTTTTCATCATCCTCGGTATCCATAGTGGTCTCATTCCGGTACTCTAGACCACTAGGCCATCCCAACCCCTAACCACTAGGGATACCGAGGATGCCTTTTCATTTGAAAAGACCTAGAATTTAAAAGTCAGCATCCGTATAATATTTTATTTTAAGTTTTCATGAATAATGCCCAAGGGTGATTGGGACTTTGTCGAGATACACTCGAATAAGTATGTCAAACTTAAAAGCGGTTTCAAGGTAATTAAATCCCATTAAAGGGGAAACCCTTTAACTTAAAATAACATGGTGCAGTAGTAAATCTAAAATAGGCCCTGCGCAATAAATAATGTTCGTCGCTAGATAGCTGTGTCTACTACCGGTATTAATTTATTTTTTTCCAGTTACTAACGTATTATGGCTATCATGACTCAACACAAGTGCTTATTTGGTTTTCAGAATTAAACAACATAAATTAATAATGTAACATGGTGCTGGTCATGACTTGATAATGACATGTGATGAACACTGTAATACTGGGACTGATAAATAACTAGTACCAAAACCTTTTTCCAGAACCATTATAGCAAGGAAAACTTATCATTCCCGTAACACCCAGTGTCACATTTTATTTGTTTGGAGCCTTAACACGGCTAGCAAGGCACTGTTATATCTGTGGATGATAATACAGACATTTTCCTTTTTTTATACAAACTTAAAATATACAACCCTAATCACAATGCGCAGACATAATGATATGTCTGCCAAATATCAATCAGATTCATTAATAAAGCAAGTGATACTGGATTTATTGATCCCGTTCAATATTCAGGAACTCATACACACTCAATGAAAGCTCCAATGGTAAAGTTGGACCAAAAAGACATGTTAATCACAATTCTATAGAAAACTAAATAAATTGTATCTCGTCGAAAACCAGCAACACAAGTACAAAAGTTAACTAATATAATTGAAGTAGTAAGCTATGAAAAAATAATACAGTTAAATATAATATCATCTGTTTTCAACCCATGTCCGCATAACAATTAAGATATAACCACAAACAAAATGTTTTATTAATACTATATACATACTATGTACGTTTATCTAACAAATAACAAATGTTTGAACTATGTGTTTTGTAAACCGTAATACATAAATTTAAAACAAGAAAATGTCTATCGTAAACAATACCTGTTGTACTGTAAATAATGGTATGTGTATTGTTAACGATAACTTATTGTACTATCTGTACATTGTAAACAATAACTATATGTACATTGTAAACAATAACTATATGTACATTGTAAACAATAACTATTGTACTATGTGTACATTGTAAACAATGTTTTGTCAATACCTGTTTAAGTTGGTGCTGACTGGGATGCAGTCTGGGTCCCAAATTAGTTTTAACAATTTCGATCTATCTACTATCCTGACATACAAATTGTATAGGTGTGAGTGTGATGGACAATGACACGAAAATGTTCCCTTTTAATGTCGTCCAAGGGTTCCCAGTGACACTTTCAGCCAGGGGTCCCATGAGAGTTTAACCCTGCCCTGTGTTTTGCGCTATGTTTGTTGTAAACAATGACTCTTGCACCGTGTATAGTGTAAACAATAACATGTGTACCATGTGTATTGTAAACAATAGCATTTGTACTATGTCAACAATAACTCTTGTACTATATGCACTGTAAACAATAATGTGATTATTTGGTATTGTCTAATTATAATACAAATTATTACATATATACATTCTAAAAATTACCCTGCTCAATCAATTATTATAGTTTCAAAATCACTAATTGGGTAGGTTGTTAATAGATCGAGTTATCAATCTTTGTCTTAAAGTCACTAATTGGGCCACATCTGACTCGGGGCCCGATCGTTTCGGTTCATTCTCTCTCCGACATTTAGTCTCCAAGTATGACTAGATGTTGATTGACCCCTTCGGTCCTGGCTCGGGAGTCGATACGTGGTCTTTATTTTATTTATGCTTTAGTGAACTGTGTTCCGCGTGGAAGAGGTTGGATGGCCGAACGGTTAGCGCATGCGCGTTGCACCATAAGGTCGTCTGTCCAACCTCGTGGGTTTTCTCCGGGTCCTCCGTTTTCTCCCACTGCTAAAGACACCTACGCGCAAGTGTATTATTGAAATAAAATTGAACCATTTTATGTAAGTCCCGAAATGACCTATCTCTGTTCCGTGTGGAAAACATATGGTATATGTGCTTTAACCACACATGTATTCCCTGTACAACATCACAAACCGTGAACACTACGTCGTTCATAAGTAACTTAACAAAAACATAAACTTTACAATAACAATAAATAACCATGGATAACAAAGTTTCTTTAACAAGATTATTAACTTAACAACAGTAACGATAAAACAAAGTCGTTACAATAATTGTATGCTATTACATTATCGCTAATGTTGAAACTACATGCTCTTATAACGTTAAAATAAGGGCACCCCACAATAGCGTAAACAACGTAATTTTTCGAAATCGTCATTCTAAAATAGCTATTTAGAACGTCATCTCATCCCATTTTAAGAACGCATGCTAACATAACGTTGAAGGAACGACGTTTTACAATAACGTCATCTCCGCATGACGTTAAAATAACTCTCAAACGTCAAGTGCAAATAACATTCAAATAACGCAATGACATTATGATGACGTTATATTATTATAGCGATATAATTTTCGAATGTAAAATGCTGTAAACATTGGAACAAAATAGCACATAAAATGTACCCTGCATGTTTTGGAAGACATCGAAGTATTACATATTATTTATGTTAAATATATGTGATATATTAATAATGCATAATGTCAAATATAAAATTAAAATAACATACATTTGTTTTGCGATAACATTGATTAAAATGATTTAATGTCCATTCCAAATGAAATTATGATAAAATGGGACTTTTCTGGAAGACTGTTTCTACTTCTAAATGTTCAAACCAGTAGCATTTCCGATCAATTATTCAATGTACCCATTGTAATATTGATAAACATATACAATATTAAATGCAGCAGTTTTGAACGTTCAACTCACACGCCTGCGTGGTTTCTTCAAAAGCCGCCATTATGTTTTAACGCCTACAGCATGTACTACTTTTCTTATCCATATTCATCTCGTGAAGTTGCATTCCAACTGTTTTAACTTCCAGATCTTCGTTAGTACGTAACAATCTACAATTAATATATGAAATTGTGTTATTCGGCTTTGTTTCGTGTGCAGCATCATTCACGGCGAATTTCCCCAAGGCAGCATTAGCTTTGTTATCAATTATATTTGTTTCAGATTCATTAATTGTGCCATTTCCGACACGGGGCACAAGTGCTTCGATTCATTCTCTCCCGGACATTGAGTCACTAATAGAGCCATTTCTGACTCGGTGTAAGATATTTAGTCGACTCCCCACCCTCTCCTTCGTGTTACTCTGTTCAATGCAAATCAGACCATACAGTTTACCCTGTCTATAATTACAGCCTCTGTGACCCAGGTTCCGATTCCGGTCTCCCACAAGTCAGTTTATAAACGAGCACTTGACAGTTGGCATTCAATCAAAAGTCGACGGAATTGCCGCTGCCCAGGCAAAATAACCAATGAATTTGAGTATTGACTAGCTAATGGATGATTTAAACCAATCACAGTGGATTTAAAATATAACCGATAAGTACTTAGAGTAGATCAACAAAAATCAAAACCGAAATTTTAAAAAAATCAAACTCCCATTGTCAATCTTACTCCTTGTACTCGATACATGTATTTTTGTATAATCAAACGGAAGCTTACCTTGTCAGTTCCATAACTGCTTCGGCCACGTGAGATCCATCTTTAGCACTTGCTTCAATAAATAATCCATTGAATTCCTGTAATAAAAAGACACACCACACTGTTAAATAAAACAATATACCACACTATACAATAGTACAATATTCCACGCTATATAATAATACAGTATACCGTAAAAGAAGACATAGACGTGTCATATGCGACCCACCAGTGCCCATTTATGTTCATAACCATGTGAAGTCCATGGGTAGTCCAGTAAGTGAAACATATCTCCCCACAAAATGAAGTATCGGTAGTCAAGTAAGTCAACCATATCACCCCTCAAAATGAAGTATGGGTAGTCCAGTAAGTCAAACATAACACCCCTCAAAATGAAGTATGGGTAGTCAAGTAAGTCAAACATATCACCTCTCAAAATGAAGTATGGGTAGTCCAGTAAGTCAAACATAACACCCCTCAAAATGAAGTATCGGTAGTCAAGTAAGTCAAACATAACACCCCTCAAAATGAAGTATCGGTAGTCAAGTAAGTCAAACATATCACCCCTCAAAATGAAGTATGGGTAGTCCAGTAAGTTAAATATAACACCGCTCAAAATGGAGTATGGGTAGTCCAGTAAGTTAAATTTAACACCTCTCCAAATGAAGTATGGGTAGTCCAGCAAGTTAAACATAACACCCCTCAAAATAAAGTATGGGTAGTCGAGTAAGTCAAACATAACACTTCTCAAAACGATTTAGTAGTGGGTACGCAATATTAATAACATAACAAAAGAGACGAATTGAATGAGATGGAGTTAATGGTCTCAACAACACAATAATTCTGTCATTTTGTTTTCTTCAGTGGCCACGTGTGGAAAGCTAGGGAGGAGAATAATGCCCGAACATCGAAGATTCCGCTAACACTTATCGAATTTCAACTACCAATGGCTTTTACACGTGTACGCCAATGTGTTCACCAGTTGACAAATAATTTGTTATAATTTGTTGATATTCATTTGTAAAGACTAATTTGTAATGAAATATGTCTCGATACAAATCGCAAAATAATCCAACTAGTGTTCTACTTCCATTTTTAAACATCTCTACAGTTACAACCATTATCATTCGCCAAGAGCTAAAAGAAATGTTAAGGATTTAACTTTCAGCAAATGCCTCCCCCCTCTCTCTCTCTCTCTCTCTCTCTCTCTCGCTCCCCCTCCCCTCCCCTCCCTCCCTTACTCCCCACCCCCTCCCTTACCCCCCACCCCTCTCTCATTAACAGCAGGGCTTAAGTCCTGATTGTCTTTTATCAAAATGTAGCTCACAAACCTTAGCCAGTCTTTGACCGTCTTCAGATCGGACAGTTCGCCGGCCCTGTTGTTCCATTTCAACACGCATGTCTGTCTTGTTACCGCATAGCATTATGGGTATTTTCTTTTGGGCTCCGTCCTGTGTAACAGACTGCAAGAGTTAATACTAATCATGGGCACAAAGGTTAAAGAAAAGGCATAAAACCCAGCGTAGAACCAGGTACCAGGTTAATAGAATGTGATATGGGGTTAGAATTGAAAAGGGATCAAGAAAACTGCCATACACTGTTAAAATAGCAAACATAAATATGTTTTATACGTTTGCAATCTGTTTAATATATGTATAAATATTTAAACCAGATAAAATTCCCTTTGGCAATTGAGTGTTAAAAAAAAGGAAATTTAGATCTGTGTCTTATTCATGACGTTAATACGAGAAAAGAGTTGTGTCATGAAAGCAGGGAAAAGATTGTGTCGGGAAAGTGGCGAAAAGAGTTGTGTTGAGAAAGCGGGGAAAGGCATAAATTGTTGATTTTAATCTTTGTTACACGCTTGATGATTTTAAAATTTGTTACAAAACTGGGCGTTTTAAAATCTGTTACAGAAGTGTTATAAAATTGGGGATTTTAGTGTTATAAAATTATATCTTTAATGTTATAAAATCTGTCTTTTAATTTTAAAAAATTGTGTCTTGTAATATTGTAAAATTGTGTCTTGTAATATTGTAAAATTGTGCCTTCTAATGTTATAAAATTGTTGTGGATTTTAAATGTCATAAACTTGTGGATTTTAAATGCCATAAATTTGTGGATTTTAAATGCCATAAACTTGTGAAATATATTAGAAAATTGTGAAAATGGGGAAATCAAAATGTCTACACACCTCAACGGCCTCTACCCAATCTCGAACATTGATAAAAGATCTTTCATATGTGACGTCATACAGTAGTAGGACACCATCTGCCCGTCTAAAGTAAGATTTAGCGATACTGCGGAATCTCTCTTGACCAGCCGTATCCCACAACTGTAGCGCTATCGTGCGGCCATCAACTTCTATTACTTTGGTTTGGAAATCAACACCTGTAACAAAGACATCGAATTACACACGGCGGAAACTTGAAAGTACATATAATTCTGCAATCTATAAATATGGCGTCGTGAAAGATATAGGATTTTCTTAACCCCTTAAAGACATCTAGTACCACTTTTTTTAAAATTGACTGTATTAACTGTTGTTGTTGTTTTGTCAAATCATCCATAAGATTTTAATGGCTGTTTCTTTGACTTCCGGTTACAACCGATTATATGGAAAATCTCGTATTATTTCGTTTTAAAGTAATAATAATTTTGAAGTCCTTACCTAAAGTTGAGCTGAGATTGTTGACAAATTTTCCCTTGCATAATCTCATAATAAAACTGGATTTACCCACAGCAGCGTCACCAGCTAAAACTATCTTATACATCCTCTCTGGTTCTTTGGTTATCTTTGTCTCAACAGCCTGGGAAAAAACATAAACATCAGCATTAGAATACTTCTATAAACATTTAGAATAAGTTTAATCACTGAATAAAACTTTACTAATATCCACCTTAGTAGTACATACAAAAGAGAAGAATTTTGCCCAGGCAGCTACTTTTACAATGTAATATAATGGTTAGTGTAAGACCAATAGCGAGCATGTTGCACAGGCAGCTACTTTTACAAAATAATATAATTAATATAAATTCAATATTAATATAATCATTACGGGAAATGAAATAAATTATTTAAAAAATTGCTTCATATATACAAAAAATCCTTTTAAATTCTAAAAAATACAATGATTACCTCCTGTGTGGCGGATAAATTCCGTCTGGACCCTCGTCCTACTTTGGATGTCAAATTGTTCCCCTCATCCTTGGGTATCGATCGAACACTCTTGGTAGATCCGCGGCTTCCGGTTGATGACGGTCGCTTGGCCTTTGACCCCAGTACTTTGTACACCTCTGCTTCTGTTGGTTCGATGAAGGATTCGGCTTCCGTTTCCATTTCATCGTGAGAATCGTAATCCTAGAATTATAGATACGATATCCATACTCAATGTTGTTATACTAGGTTATCAAGTCGTCCCACTATACCATCACAAAAGCAATATACAAAATTGAAAGTTGAGGCCGAGTCGTTCGGTCCAGTGGTATAGGGTTCAATCAATTTTTATTTGGACACCAATGAATTCCTACATTTGGTTACCCATCGTTTTCGGCCTTATTACATTGCGATATTTGTTTACCTTTGGTGTAGACGCGACGAAAAGGGTTAGGCTTTACATTTTCTGATAAATATTATTGATTTTGATGTGGAAGGATAACCGGAGGTTGGTTATGTTAAAATGTAAGGCAGATAGGTATATGTTTACTAGAATGCTACATGCTTTTTGTGTATCTAAAGATTTCCATGTTGAGCCTTTGAGCTAGATGTTGCTACATGTTGCTCCATCTGTACTATTCAACCTAACGAAAATGTGTGAAACTTTAGAGTCGGTCAAAAAATTGAGATTAAGATTACAGTTATTGGTAATTACCTCCCCTTCTGCTTCATACCCGGCTGCTGCTCGGAGTCGAGTATTCCTCCTGCTTTCACGTGCTTCCAAACTGCGTGCATCAGTAAAGGTTGACTCTTCATCTGAGTCAAGGTCATTGATATCTCTCAAGGTCGAACGACCGCTATCTGTAACGACAAGATAAAATTGAAAAAGCCGATCGTCGAACAAATTTTACACAATCTAAAATTCGTGTAGAAATTTAAATATCACCAGCAAAATTACTAATTAATAGGAATTATAGCCTTTGTCAAGAAGGACATTTGCTTCATGTCACACGTGTTTCTGACCCAGTCCCCACAATTTGTACCTACCCATGTCTTCCGGTACACTTTCACCACAACTTCCTCTTCTATGATGCCTTGATTCTCCAGAAGCTTCGGGGTTAACCATTTCCTCGGCCAGCGAGGATGTGGGACTAAATGCTCGCGCAAAACGGTTGCTGTAATACAAAGATTTAAAACAATTATTTAAACTCCCAATCATACGGGTTTCATTGTCGTCTTCAACTTTCAAGACGTGGATTGTCCGGCAACGAAACATACGACTGTCAGCAGATAAGACGTCCAAATAATTATGAGCTAAACAACAATGGGGGTTGCTATCGAACATCAATAGGTTTCTGAGAACAGATAGCCAAGCAACATCAATTTGAGAAAGATGAATTAATAATTTCAGCCTAACAAGACGTAGTAATAAAGCCCCAGAACAGCCCATTATACCCATAATAATAAACCTACCCGGGAGTATTGTCGAAATAGTCACTCATGATGGAACCTTTTCTAGAACTATGACGAGGAGAAACACTACGAACACTTCCTGCAGACTAAAATAGAAGAAAAAAAACCAGACATATTATTAAAGTCCAAATATTAGAGAATAATCGATAGATATATACAATACATAATGGGTGCAAAATTGCATACTGGTTCAAACATTTTCAAAATGGATGAATTCGCATGTGAGTTATGTCCATCTAAAGGTACCCGTCTTCAATGACTTGTAATTGTCTGCTGATATCTAAACGATAAATCGCGGCACCAATATGATGTCTGTCCAGGGTTGTTTTTTTATTTTAATCGTCCAAAGAACGATTTACAGACCATATTACTTTATTTCATTGAAGGTAGTAAATGTATATTGACTTTTTTCGTGATATCATATATGATGTTGCTCCCGCGAAAAGTTTATTTTGTACCAACCCCATGGAGGATTTACGATACAGGTTGCGGATGGAATATGGGTCAGATTTATAATCTACTTACGCCATTCGAAAGATTTCGTTTATGACTTGTTTTAACTGTTTCAAGACAATTCCTCAAATCATCATTGGTATCATGTAACTTCTTATTAGCATCACTGAAAACAAAATAAAAGACGGCAATGAAATGACGTTTAAAGTTCTAATTATCTACAACACTATACGCCATACAGTGTACTATATGTGACAAAATTTTGCCAGCTCTTATTTCTGTTTCCATATGTCATAGGATCTTTACAAGGCATTCTGAACACAGAGAACAATCTACTTCTAGAACAGATCTCTGCCCTGAATGACCGCCATATACAAAATTTAGTATACTATTTTATTATGATGTTCTACCCCGTTTCACGCCTGTCATACACATAACGATTAAATAAACATTTTCAGTTTATTAAATGGAAGCGGAATAAATGTTTCTCAAAATTATCGACGTAATGTTTTCGAATAATTAAAATCCGCACATTCAATAACCGATTATATGTTTGGTATATTTTCTTCCCAGCCTGAGGGTAAATGCAATTGTCTAGGTTAGTGAGTGATATCAGATGTTCGTGAGAAAGTTTAACTTACTGTAATAGATGAAGTTGTCTGGTTAGATTATCCTGTTCCTTAATATAATCCATCACCGTTTCTTTCTCACTACAAACAAACAAATTAATAGTTATTATCATCTTCGTGAGACAGGGGTTTCTGATAAAACCCAATTATTTGACTCTAAATTGTGACGAGGCGGCCAGCAAATCGTAACACTACACGTAGGCAGTGGTCGACTGTCAAAATGGCTAGTACATAAAATATGGCGCCATGCTTTACTGAACGATATATCATGACATTAACTTACTCTTATCCGATGCCTCCCATGCAAAACATTCCATCACTTCTACTTCAGGATTTGGTGTCAGTACAAAGCTAGTATGTCATAGAATGTAGGTCAAAGCCCAATGAAGTTAGCGCTCGGTGGTGGTCTTATAAGACTATGTTGGTGTCCACTATATAACACCAAGCTTCGTCTCAATAGCAATTATCTCTCTTTATTGCAGTCGGTAACAATAAGTTAATGTCCTTTAATTGCGTCACTTCCAGAATCTTCAAATCATTGTTACTGATCGACCTTGGATAACCATGTTACAATTATACTTGGAATGTGATAAACCAATTCTAATAGTCCCTAAATACCAGACACGGACACTTGTGTAAATTGTAAATTTGTTATCATTACTTACTTGTCATATTCGTGACACTTCTCTTTAAATTGTTGTCGAATAGAAGCTAATTCTGATCTAACTAGAGCTAGATTGGTCTGAGCATCCGTTAACTCACTTTTATAATTTCTATTTTCATAATTTAACTCGTCTAGTTTCGCTTTCAACTGCGTTACTTGTTCTTCGGCTTTATTTCCGGCATCAGTTAGCCCTTGCTAAAATAAGACAGAGGGTGGGTATTTAAAACGCCATTAAGATTTATATACTGCAGTAATTCGTAAAACGTCTATATCTCGGCAATGTATGAGTGCTATGTTTATGTCTAGTATTACCACCCTCTAATAATGAGTCGTATGCAGATCGGAAAAATATTTTAACAGATCAGTACCTAGGTACCCCCCCCCCCCCCTACAAATGAGAACCAAGACATCAATTAGATCAATGAATTAGGAGTAAAATTTGGCCTTGGGATTTAGTTAAGAAAGCTGAATCAATCTTAGTAGGGGAGTGGCGTTTTCCACCCACTCCATAAACAATCTACATGGTGCTTATGTGAATGGGGTTCGGCATCTTGCTTAGCTCTTGTAAAACACCCCTCCATGGAAACTTATATATAAAATGGGGTTATGAATTATACATTCTGCAGGCGAATTATTTCCAAATCACAAAATAATATAGACACTTACGCTTTGGAACCTTTTTAAGTTTTGTTGTAACATTGTTATTTCTGAATCCATTTGATTTCTTAAGTCTTCTTTGTCTGCTTCAAACTTGTCTTGTAGCTTGAAAAAAACAAACATTTTTATTAAATCTCTGTGTTAAATATCATTGAATTAATGCATACATGAAAAGGTTGGATGGGTGGGGTGGGGCATACGTCTGACTGCTAATTGTTTGAAAAGCAGTCACAGGATAGGTATTCACAGAGGGAAACCATTAAACGGCATTAAACCAAATAAAAGTATCTGGATTAAAATGTGATTCTTGTTTCTAAAATATCTATTTCGAATGTAAACGAACTTGGAGTAAATTAACTCGAGTGAAAACTGAACTCGGGGTCGTTTATACTATTGTGAAAGTCCCACGAATCTCAATTATTTCTATTACATATTTTCGTTAACCATTATGCGTGTGCCGAATATTAATCAATAGTTCGATAAAACCAATGATGTTGAGGTGTTTGTTAAACCCAAATTTTTACGGGTGTTTGCTAAAAAGAATAATGTACGGGTGTTCGCTAAAACCAATATTTTACGGGTGTTGAATAAAACAATAATGTACGGGTGTTCTGAAAAAACATTAATGTACGGGTGTTCTGTAAAAAAAACAACCGATATTAGACGGATGTTCGCTAAAACTAATATTTTACGAGTGTTAAGTCAAACCGTATATGCACCTTTGATGCATATAGAAAGATATGTGTTCATGATAAGTTTTATCAAGTCTTTTAGGAGGTGTAAGCTTTGACTTCAATAATCGAGGCGAAATTCGTGATAATGGCCGCCACTTTAGTCACCTGCCAAATGCCATTGAACTATTTTTTTTTATTGAAAACATAGAAGTAACTGTAAATAAGGGTGTAACTATTGGTTATATTTACCTTTTAAATATTAATATCTATAATCTATAATAACTAGTCTGCTACTTAAATAATACATAAATATATACACTAGAGCCTAACCCTTGACCCTAATCTTGTCACGTTTCTATGACAGCTGGTTAAATTCTCATTATGAATCATCCAATTTGTTGAATTGTAAACACTTTACTTACGTCATTTTGAGACTAACATATGTTCATTAAGTTGCGTTAGAAGTATCGATGAGGGATTTTACCAGAACAATTATTAACAAAATAAATTGAACACTACTAAATAATTACATATTCAAGGGAGATAATCGTCGATTACAGAAGAAATGTTATAACAATGACACGTATTATATTCTTTTTCATTATGATAATACATCAAATAATGCTTTTACGTATAATAAAACATATTTATATACAATACAGGATGTGCATAATACAACAAAGACAGAAGAAACAATTATAGTTAAGCTTTGTTTTACAAATTAGGATTTTTCACGGGATGCTAAATATACTTCAATACAAGAGAAGAAAATAAAAAATTGGGTCCCTTATTCACCAAATCTTAAAATAAATTATTTAAAGGCTGTGTTCTTTTCATTGGTCGAGGGTTATAATCCTTGTACACAGTCTTTGTTCCTGGCCAATGGAAAGGCCAAATTCTTATAACAGTTTAGGTTTATGTAAATAAGGCCACGGAATTCCGGATTCGAGATTAAATATTTACCTGTTTGCGAACTCGTTCTTCTATCTTCTGTGTTTGGGCTTCCATCTCCTCTTCCAAATGTTGAAGATGTTTTTCATGACTTTCCTTCTCCCTGAAATACATAAATATATTCAATACCTTGGTACCACTTGCCAATCGGTTAGTGCTAAATGATAAGGCCAGCTCAATTTTTCGTCATAGGTCACGAGATTCAAACAGGACTAGCGCAAATCCCAACCCTACCCTAACCCTGAACCTAGCCCCAATGCTTACCCTAACCCTAACCTACAATCTCGCCAACAATCAAGTGCCCTAACCTTATTTACATATCTGCGACCTTGACAAAAATAGATTTAGCCCTTGTCCATCAGCTCATCAATTGTCAACTGAAATCATTTGGTCGCTATAACAACACTCCAAATTGGTATGGTGTGTTCACGACTCCTGTCCCTATCAGTATTATTATTTACGGGTTTTATATAGCGCACAATTTCAGGAGCGTTTAATAATAAATAGACTATATATAAACGAAAACATTAAATAAAAGACAGACATATATATAAAATAAAACAGGGTTGGAATCTTTAAAATAATTTAACAAAACTGCTTTAGTTGTGATTTAAAGGTTTCTTTAAAATAATAGGTTTCAAGACCTGAATTTTTTATAAACAAAAAACAAAACAATACTAGTATGACATTACTAACTATATATAAGCTGTGAACACATAATATAGAACAGGCTTAAAATCTTTCAGATAAGTTAAAAAAAACTGATTTAGTTATGATTTAAAGGATTCTTCAAAATAATAGGTTTTATGATTTGATTTAAAAAAAAAAAAATACTAGTATAACATTACTAAGCATATATAAACTGATTATATTTAGTTTATTAAAAGCGTTTCTCACCTTCGGAATGATTTTTCCAATCGTTCGTTTTCTGTTTGGTAAGTTCTGACATCTTTAATAACCCCAAGGATGATATTTTCAAATGATTCTAAGAGATCGGTATTATTACTGTCATGTAGACGTTGATATAATTCACACACCTGTTCTTGACTGAAAAATACAACGACAAAAAAGATGGATGAAATATAAAAACATTATATATCTTTGTACAGCACCTGATCCAACACAATGTGCTGATGCACTATTCGTGAAAACTTAAACTAAATAATAGTTAAAAATATAGATAATGCAACTAGAATATGCCGAAAATTTCAGTCAAATTACTTCACACTGGGCTGAGAGGTGCTCATTTTATTAACACTGTAACCTCGATTGTCATTGTTACCGTTGTTACGATAATAAACAAAGTCTTGATTATCCATTTTACGGTTAATCACCAACGGTCATTAAACGGCAGATCGGATTCAAATCTAATGAAAATCGGACAAATCAGATGACATCGAGAGTTGATTATGGTCTTGTCATGTTCATAAATATCTAATTAACAGAAAGGCCTACAATAGGGAGATTTAGCTCTAGCATGATGTATGTTTAAACTACACTTAAAGTTGATGGGGTGCTTATACAGACCTTAAAACGTATTACAGATAGATAAACAACAATTAAAGTATAAATAACACTAAACCACATTCCACTTGTTATTTCCAATTTCGTTTTCCATGTAAATGTAAACAATTTTTAGAAACAAATACACGAAGGGTTCCAATTGTTATTCCATTGGTTTTTTTTGGTTTTTTTTCAGGAATAAAAAATGAATAAATAAATAAATAAATGACCACGAAATTCAAAAATTGAAATTCAATTAGGGATATTTACTCTTTAATCTCAATCAAAAACATCCATACCAAAGCAAAAGGTAACAATCTTTCAACTTCTGACGAAGTTGTCCTAATGTCGCTGGAGAATTATATTCTTCGTTTAAATCGGCGAACATATTCATTCTGAATATCACAAATCAAAACTACGTCTTCAGCGGATATAATACAAAATTTATTTGTGTTAGTTTATCACATAACCGAGTCATTCTTCCATATTATTTGCAAAAGTTTGTAAATAATTCAAAACAATTATTTTTCCACAACGTTTTTTTGTATAGTTCGTGTAATCTTTCTTTATTGATTTTTTAACTTTGATACGCTTCAATCATTTGTTGAACTTAAATCGTCACCACAATAACCACAACAATTATTTCGCGAAAATATTGCTTTTACAGTTATTTTCGCCTTTAAACGCTTTGGTCAGTTGAATAATTTAGAGAGCTACCGTATTAACCATGACTGTAGATACTGAAGCACGACAATTATTATTGGGTATAGAGCTTTTCACACATCACATTGTTTTCTTCATTTTGGTAATTCTCATCCGTTTACTTTTTGAACAAGTTTGTTATTCATTTACCCCAAAAAACACACCTCTAAGCACTTTCACACATGAAATGGCTAATTGCCGCTCTCGTGCTTGTTTTTGGGTTGTAAATTTAGTGTATGGGCGGATAAACGCGTCAAAAATCGATTATCTTTATTAATACTAGATTAGCTATGTTTAAGAACGTGTTAAAATGCAACATTCCTTGTACAATGTAGTGTTGATTTAGAAATAACTAGTCGAGCTTGAAACAGCTGTTTTTAACACAAAACATTGATGTTGTAATGAAGCAGGTTTTGATGTAAGGATCGTCACCTTACAGCGATTTTTAAAAAAGAGTAGGTGGAATAATGATTTTAACCGGGTTAATGAATATGGCCATAATTTATATCTTATACAAGAATATATAACAAACGAATGACATAACGGTGATATGCATAACTTAAAGAAATAAAGACACTTTATACTTTATCTGATCACCAGTAATTGATATCATTTTGGCCTATATTATATTCTTAAAATTTAGTCAAAGTTGGTCTTTCTATGTTGAGAGGGCCTCTCATGCCTCAGGTGCCCCGTGTTTGTCAAGCTCTAAATCCGGTACTGTGAACGGACAGTCGTGGATTAACCAAATATAAAGAAGGTGTTCAGGACCTCCGGGAAAGAAGGGCCCCACTGTGTCCAATTTACAACGAATCAAATGTTTCAGCTGAACCAGGGCCCACAATAAATTACATGCTAAAGATACATTAGTTAAGAGTTTAAGAAAGAGTTGTCCATTCTTGCCATAATAATTCAAAAATAGGTGATGAAAAATAAATAAAATATTGAAGATTTCGGTCAAATTACTTTAGTCTGAACGGAGTTGTTAATGTTGGATGTTTTGACTAGAAACAGACATCAACTGTGTTCGCGCCGTCTACGGGATTTGCCGATCGTTTGATTGAAAAACGATAACTCCACCCACATGTTCTCGGTTATCAAGTAACATTCTCAATGGCTATGGTACCGTCGCTTGGTAGGCCTTTCATCGGCAGTGTCCGGTAGTGACGTCAGTGGCGAACAGTAAACGTTAGCTTGGTCGGCCACATATTGATTTAAATCCAAGCTGTATCCAAGACATCGGGGGGTCTACAGAGTTCATTTTGAGCTTGTCATGTAAATAAAGTTCTAATTAATAATTTCTATAACATCTGTAGCCTACATAAAGACTTGCAATATACAGATTTTGCATAGTGTATGTTTAAACAAAGCTATTGTAATGTTTTAAAAAATACTATTATCAATTTTTTTTATTTTACGGTTTAGAATTGTTTTAATTTTGAATTTCATATATTTGAGAGGTACCATGATATTTTCAATACTTAAGTCAAGATGATCTCGTGGGTTAAGGATAGAGCAATGTTTCCCTTACACATGTCATTGTCTAATGACAATACAGCTATTAAAGTAGCTAAGTCTTCGATATCGAAAACACGAATTATTTGTCAATTTAAATCAACATTGAAGTTGTGATCTTACCGGGGAATGGTGGGCTTCTGATATCCAATATGTAAAACAAAATAAACATTTTACCATTGGTACACGAATCGTGTACCATGTATTTCAGCGCCATTTGTAACAAGGGACTCGAAGAGCATAGCTAAACTCATTCCACGAGTCATGTCAAACGGTGACGCCAAATTCTTATCCGGAGAGTATGCTTTATAAATACTATCGGTGTAGACTGGAATAACCAGACGCTAGAGATTGCCATTCGATTGAGACCTCTGGCGTATTTCGCCGAACATAGCTGATTTGAAATTAGGAGTAAAAACGAAAACGATTGAATGCAAATCAGTTGATATACATTAATATTACATTATTATATTGGGTGCGACCCATTTGTGTTAATTTCTAGGTCCTAAATATTAGCGATTTAGCTCCTTTAATATAATATAAATATCTCGAAATATTTAATTAAATGCCATTGTATGTGATTTGTTTAATACTGCAATAAGAAAAAATACTTAGGTGGTTATTTTTTTTTAAATTTTGTTTTAATGATTACCAGTCACGTATGATGTGTGATGTGCGGTTGGCTAATCTCTGAATTGAAAATAATGTAGAACGGAGACACAGGTGTCTGGGAAATTTTAATTTATAATACAATACAATACCAGAAATATAATACACAAAGTTTATTTTCAATGCGAATTTCCACGATAACTATATTTTTTTAAATTGTGGGGTTGGATGAACGAATGGTTAGCGCGTGCGCACTGTTTCATAAGGTCTGTCATTGAGTCAACTTGCATGGTTTCAATTCCCTGGTTGTACGTGGCAAGGAGTAGGATCGCCTGTCCAACTTCGTGAATTTTCTCCGGGTCCTCCGGTTTTCTCCCACAGCTGAAGTCTCCGACGCGCAAGCAAATTTTTAAAATAAAATTGAACCATGTGTTAATCCCGAAATGACCTTATTTGTGTCGAGTGGACGTTAAACCCCATTTCTCTCTCTCGGTCTTGTTTTGAATTATATCTATCGTTACAAATGTATAGTGTTTAAATAATAACCCCAATGCAACTGTTTAGTTTTAAAAGTTGAAGATGCTAATGAACCCCACAAATGATATGGTAATCCCCTTTCCATGTCCGTGTATCCACCCAACCCCCAATATTATTGCACAAAATAATTCTGAGGTCATTAAACGATTCCCAAGGTAAAACATACAATACTTCTGTTTTGTTCACAAACATGGTGTACCAATTAACCCATTTACCAATCCAACTAATAAACGCGACTATTTATAGTCAATTATGTATTCATCAATTTCATTTGAAAGGGCACTGTGATGACTTAATTAAAATTCCTATGTCACATTATATTTTATGCATGATTAAAGTTGTGAAATGAAAACACCCTGAAATAATTGACAGGGTTTTTGATTATTTTATTTTTGTAATTCGTGGAGTACAAACAGAAGGTAAAAATGATCAAAAAGTAATGGAAATAAATCGCAAAATTGATTTTGGAACATTTCCCACTTCTTGACTCAAAGAGGAAGTTGATCCCAAATGTTTTGAAATGATCTCCTGGCATTTGTACATATGTTTGCATTATTATTATTAATATAAACTAATCACTTTATTAATTATCAACTATAATACACATGTTGTGTATGCGATATCACTTGGAATATTTCTCACTTCTCAACCCAAAGGGAAAGTTTATCCTAAATGTTTGAAATGATCTCCCGGTATTGTAAATATGGATGCATTAATATGAAGGATAGAAATTAATTACTTTATTAATTATCAACTAGCGACGAATGTTGTGACTACGATATCACTCCACTGAATACGGTATATTTAATACCTGGATAATGTAAAATGACGACGCAAGTGTCTGCGAAATTTTCATTTCTAAAACAGTAAAAACGGTAGTTTAGAACCTGATATAATGTAAAATGGCGACACAGTTTACCGTGCTTTTAATATTTATTTATAATATGTTGTATAATTCATCAAATAGAAGGTAAAATATAAAAGATCCAAATTTACTGGAAATGAATCGCGAAATTGATTTTGGAACATTTCCTACTGAAAATACATAGGAGAATTTCTCACCCCAAAGGGTAAGCTGGTACTACATGGCTGAAATGAACTCCTCGCATTGTACATATGGGTGAATTATTTCCATTCTGTAGAAACTAATTACTTTTTAAATTATAATGCCGCCTCCGAAAAAAATGTATGCGATATTACCCCGGTGAAATCGGTATGTTTAAAAAACTTGATAACATTTCGTAAGCATAATCGTAGAAAACACCAATCACTACACAAACATAGATGTGGGGGTAAATTGAACCTGGACTTCAGAAGGCGAAATACTGTTCATGGGGAAACTATCTTTTAAAAAAAGTTGGACAAAAAATCCATTTTATATTTTTAAAAAATCAAACTTAAATGTCACGTAGATTGTGTTTGGGCATTCTGAATGAGTCATCGGGTATAAATGAGAAAACACCGGCTGTTGCGACTGGTTTACATGATATATCAATAAATATATATATAAAACTTGACTACAAAATTTATATATACCGTATATATAACTGCTGGATTGCCAGTTTAATGCGTTAAAGGAGCTAAATCTGTAACTTAATGTTTTCCATAAAATTCGAAATTAAAAGCACGAATTAGAGTTGTATATTGGTCAGTTTAAATCAAAATTAATGTCGTTATGTCGTGAAAATATAGGATTCTGATATCTAATATTTAAGGGGGGGATGGCCGAATGGTTAGCACGTGCGCGCTGTATCATAAAGCCTGTCATTGAGTCAACTGGCGTGGTTTCGAATCCCCGGTTGTACGTGACAAGGAATAGGGTCGCCTGTCCAACCTCGTGGTTTTTCTCCGGGTCCTCCGGTTTCCTCCCACTGCTAAAGACCCCTACGCGCAAGCGAATTGTTGAAATAAAATTAAACCATATGTTAGTCCCGAAATGACCTAGTTTGTGTCGAGTGGACGTTAAACCTCATTTCTCTCTCTCTCTCTCTCTCTCTCTCTCTCTCTCTCTCTCTCATATTTAAGACACAATTAACATTTTATAATAAGTACACGGGCCGTGCATTCTATAGTTTCGGGCGCCATTTCTAATGAAAAAATGAAAACAAGCAAGTAATTAGTAATGGCTGATTCACAAATAACAAAAAATTAATAAAAAAAACGTATAGAATAGACTAAGCAGGCGTAAATGATTGTCGTTTAATTTGGACTTTCACATATTTTACCGAACATAATTTATTGAAAATTACAATACTGAATATAAATCACTTTACGTTAAGGTTCTAAACAATATCACCGTTCAACGTCACAGACAAATTCCGAGGAACATTCTGGACCAACACGTGATTAATCCCTAGCGATTAGTGAGCCAACCTGTTACTGAGAGCAAGAAATTATTTATTAAATCCGACCTATACACACTGTTAACCAGTTGCAAATGCGTTTCGTTTAATTCCAGGAGGGGGCCAGGGTGGCTAAGTCGGTAAGACGCTTGCTGGCTAGCCTGGAGGTCGGGTGTTCGATCTCTGCAGATCATCCAGATTTTCCGGCGTGGTTCCACCTTGTCAGTGATGCAGACCGGAGGGTCTGATAAGGACAACTGTCTAGTCGTTCGGGAGGGTTGAAAAACCGAGCTCCCATGTTCACATTGGCGTCCACGTAAACGATCCCCTGACAGTTGGAATTCGGTAAAAGAGTAGGCCGTAGTGCCGCTGTCCGGGCACGATTTCCCCCATAGTACACTGTATGGCGTATGACCGTCTTCATTAGCCCAATTCATTTCATTTCATTTAATTGCGACCCATACATCCCCTGTTAGATAGTGAAAGAATGGAACGGAATGAAGTTTAAGGTCATTTTGAGACTAACATACGTATTTTCATATAACAACGTATGCAATGCTAGGGGTTTAACGTCCTACTGCTCCAACAAAGCTAACAAAGAAGTGTTAGGGAAATATTGTCCAAAATGTTACAAAGAATAATTTCGTTTGCCACCGCGCACTGTAGACGACTTCTTCGAAATTTGTTTCAAAGTAAATATAAACATTGCTAACTCAGAGAACTGTGCAAATTATAGGTTGTGGTTATGTACAAAACATCATAAAGATATCGTCAACAGTTTTCGAAGATGTTCAACAAACAAAGCCCGGACAGAAGGACAGAGGAACGAATTCCATTTCAATACCCCTCCCCCATATTCACCAGGCTTCGGGATAATAAAGTAGAATTCCTTTTTACACATATTAATACTAACCGTTTAACTGGCAAGAGAAAGAAATGTGGAAGATCTAACAGTGACCGGGCTGGCTTGTTATTTTGATAACCATCTAAACTAAAATATCTTTTAACGCTGCGTCTACACCGCTTAAGTCTTGTTTTACTATGATATGTTCCTTGTGGAGACACCGGAAGTGACTTACAATGTCTATCGAAACCCGGCGGTCCGAATTGAAGCTTGACGTCAGTAGCTGTGATGACGTCATCTTTATCAGTGTCCAGCACATCAAATATTATATCGGCCTCCTTTTCGGTGAAACTTAAATCTCTGACGATTTGTTCAACCTTATCCTTGGTTGCTGTGGCTTCACCGTTTAATTCGAATAAATCGATCACTCTTTCTACGTCTGGGTCCGTTCCATTTTCCGCCATTTAAAAAAGTTTTTACACTATATAAAACTAAGTATTTCTACACACGTATAAAAAAAAACGAAACAAAAACTTTTAGGGCGGGTCCTGTTAATATTTATAAATTCAAATAATATTATTTCAAATTCAAATCTTCGAAACTGCCGAAACTCTGAATGCAACGCTATGTTATATTTTAGTAATTCCCGTCTTCATTGTCTCTTAAATAAGTACATGTTGTGTATGTTTCTCTTTAAAATACTTCTGGAGTTGCCTTTGTTTCAAATCTTCTTAAAACGTGATGAGCATAGGTGGTATGTTATTGTTATAAAACCTCGCTCTTCAACAGTCCTATGATGAGATTATTGATTGCACCACATAATCCAAAAGATATTTTACTAAACGGTCTTTAAAACTTTTAAATAAAAACAAATCATGTGTTTGAAATTAGTCACCAGAGTATCAGACCGCCATATTCGTCTGTTCGCCGCCATAATTTTTTCTTATCTTATCTTTAATGTGTTGCTATGTATGTAAAGGAATGTCACATATCTAATATGTTCTAGCAGTTTTCAATACCATAACTTCCAATTAAACAATTCTTCGATGCATTATCAAATTTAAAGACCTCTGTCACCTAGTGCTGTAAAACTATATAATATAACTAATATATTCTATTAGTTTTCAATACCATAACATTCTAATTAAACTATTTACAGCCTTTCGCTGTGGATATTATTCAGTTTATAAACTGTTTGTTTAACAAACGCTTTAGCAATCGAATCAATAAAATTGACGAACTGCTTACAAGTTTATCTCAATAATAGACTGTTACATTCCTTTCATGCTATGACTACCTTTTAAACTACTTTTAAATTAAACACATTCATAAGCGTTCTTCGGAACAATTAACGAAAGCAAAATGATGTGTTAACACAAGAACGTTGGTTGATCACGTGAATCTATTGAATAGACGCAATATGTACTCTACTGTACTCTATTTTTATACAATCCACGTTGAACTGATTAAGGTTATAAACTTTTCACAGACGTCGCCGATTGTTATTTAACAGAGAGAAGTATTATCTTTTCTGGTTATTGCACTGGATGTTCTGTCCAACCTAAAGCTAGACTCTGATATAAAGGCCGTTTTAAGTGCAAATGTTTACTTTATATAGATGTACTCGAAAAGCTTTAAAACACTTCAACATTATCAACATAATGTGATGTTCACGTTATTTAAACAAAAGTGGGGTACTATATTATCTCGTCACCCAAGGACATGTGCGACCACCTGGTCTTGTTGCTAAACAAATGCGTGGGCGTCACAGTACTAGATACGTGCAGACTATTTCTCCGAATAAAAAGTCTCTGTGTTCTCAAATTCTGCCCCGTAGTACATCCAGCTCAGTTCCAAACTTCTGAAATTATCTTTGCTCCGTATCCCCGTTCACGCAAACTCTTTAGACAATTCTCCGTTGAACACACTAACCGTTGCTTAGCAAACACATGGTCATGATGCCGGCGATCATCCAAAACACCCCCGTCAGCTTTGATCACTGTAACATTATGGCAGCCATTTTGAAACATAACTTAAACTTCATTTGATATCATCGTTAGTTAAACTGTGGCAACAGCTGTGGGTAGTTGTTTGAAAATTAACAAAGTTTTTAAAAGCCTACACAATTTGCTTGTTGGTTAAACTTTCCGATATAGAGGAAGTCTGACGTTAAAGGCTACGCACGGGTTGTTGCTAACCTAATTCTGAGCCAAATGGCATTGCAACATTTTATTACTAAAATCAATAACAACGCTTTTGTTAATAAACTTAAGATTAAATTTTGAAATCGATTTTATGCTAATGCGAATGCGTATATATATATATAATATAATATAAACTACTGTTTAATATTCTGAATTCTGGACCATTAGAGACATTTCACAATAATTACAAAGTTGGCAATAATAAATACAATACCGAAATGATTTAAACAATATTCAACCCAATTGCATTTGTAATAAAAAGTCATAAAGTCAAAGACGCCTGGTAAGTGTCATTGTGTAAATAGCCAACTGTTGCAGGTAAATCAGATGGACGTAACATGTTTTACGATCGTCTCTGGAAGGTACAATGGAACTTGCGTGGTTCAACCCACTGACATGAAAAAAATAGGTCATGATAGCAACATGTCATTAAAATGCCCATACAATATGTAGGATAATTACACGTAGCGTGGGGTGCGGGTGGACGGCCGAATGGTTAGCGCGTGCGCGTTGTATCATAAGGTCTGTCATTGTACGTGACAAGGAGTAGGGTCGCCTGTCAAACCTCACGGGTTTTCTCCGCGTCCGCCAGTTTCCCCCCCCCCTGCTAAAGACCTCTGCGTGCAAGCGAATTATTGAATTATTGAAATAAAATTTAACCACATGTTAGTCCCGAATTGACCTAGTTTGCATTGGGTGGACGTTAGACCCCATCTCTCCATCTCTCAAGTTTATCAAAAACGTAAAATGATTGGACAGCAGTTATGAATCCGAGCATAGCGCCATTGCCTCTTCGTGCTCTACCTCTTGTTTTTGTAAGACAAATACAAAAATAGCGCTTCCAATAACTATACTTGTTTTGTTTGCAATGACCTACAATGATTCACTTAATGATCGCCAGGTGTTCAACTGTCCGTTAATAATCCATACATTATCATACTGATTATCGTAATCAATACCCAGATCGATCAATATATCATAATAATCAACGAAATTGTTCAAAACAAAAACAAATAAAAATTGATTTCGTTAAAAAAAAAAGAGAATAAATTAACACTGTATATTCTACGCTGATGTTATAACATTGCTGTGCGTTGCCAGGTTCTCCATCCTGCACCATGGAATCTTATGCCAAATTTTCCCCAGATGCTAAATTTTGCAATAGATTTCAATTTTGGTAGGCACCGCTTCCTCCAAATACATTATGACGACCATCTTGGATCTTCAAGATTTCAGCTATGCAAACAAAATATATTTACCAAAATCTCTGCTTCTAAAACACTTAGGGTCGCAATTTTGTTGTCTAAGCTTACATTTAGGTTAAAAGAATACTAGTATGCCATCTAGAAAAGGCAACATTTCCATCAAATATATTGTAGTCGTTATCATGGTTTTCAAGATGTCCGCTGTGTAATAATCCACATTTACCAATAATTCAGCTTCTAAACCACTTAGGGTAGCCGTTTTTTTGGTGTCTAAGTTTACATTCAATGTCAAGGAGTACCATTATACTATCTAGAAGAGACACCATTACCCCCAAACATATTTTTGCGGCCATATTGAATCTTCAAAATTCCCACAAAATAAAAACCTATATCTTTCTGTCTAAAGCTACATTTCCAGGGCCAAGGAAGACAATTATAACACCCAGAAAGGGATCAGCTTGATTTTATTAACATACAAATTAAAGTCGGCATACGTATATCTACCAATATCTCAACAATACAATATATCGCTACCAAAAGGACCAAGTCCGAGTTTACTAAGCATTCTCAGACTTAAGTTAAGAAATTACTCAAAATTGTTAACCATATTTTAACTAAAATATAGCGCTTTATAAAACTATTGTTGTGTTAATGAATCAAATACATAAAGAAGAAACAATGTACAAAGTTTTGTGTTTCTGGATCAAAGATATATTTCTCATAAACAGTAATTGAATGTTGAGTAAATCCTTAACTTAAGTCTGAGAATGCTATGTGAACTCGGGTCCAAAATGTCGATTAGAAAGAAAGGTCATTCATGTAAGCTGACAAAAAACAAATCAGACTTTTGCATGGAAAGCTGTTGAAAATCGATCAGACGGAAATACGTTAAAACCCATTTCATTTCATTCCCTTCACCAAGATAACTTAAATTGATATGATTTGTCTTTTTAAATATATATAACTTGATAAGAACTGACATGGGAATAAATGTTATAAGTCAGAGGTTCTGAATAGTAATGGTATTGATTATAAAGAGATACATTTACAACGTCACCCACCAAAACCATCACATAGCTGACTAACTTTTGTTCTACTGTTGTATTTCGTGATTGCCAGGTTGGTGTCAAGAATAATTTAAAGTATTTCATTATTTGTAAAAGCAAATGTTACTTTAATCGATATTGGATCGACATTATTTATATTTTAGTCTTACGTGATGTAATGAATTCCTGCAATGATGTATTTATTTTTTATGTATCTTGTCGAAAGAGACTACTCACGACTCTTTTAAAGTGAACAATAAAATCTAAATCTGAGTTTGGAAAAACTATGGCGTATCAGTCAGATATGTTTGTTGTTTTCGTGTGTGTGTGTGGTTTTTTTTTGGGGGGTGGGGGGTGGTGGACAAGTGGTGTATTTGTATTTATTCAAACTGTTTATTTTTAAAGACGGGGGGTGGGGTGGGTTTCTAGGTAGTTGTGCAGCCTTAAATTAAATTTCATGTACATCATGTCCTGTATGCTGTTTTTTTTCGCATCGGCAAATTATTTTGTGACAACTTCTCAATATCAAGGATAGTTCAATGTCTCCATTTTACTTGTAACATATAGAAATGAAATGAAATGGCTGTGTTTAACACCCTACTGTTCTGCTCCAACTGGGATAATGAAGACAACATAATAAGGACTACATCTAATAGTATACTTACGCTGGAACTTCCTTACAATAAATAAAACCGGCTTCTGAATTGTGATTGGTGGACATCCTTAGATTTGTATATCCTTAGTTCGGGCTCTCTGAGGTTTGGTTTGTTTTTTTAAAATATAAGCGAATATTTAAGGAGCTATATAAATGAAGACTCTTGTTTTACTTTTGTCCGTTCACGCGGATGCTTCAATAGCTTCAGCAAGTTACTTCTTTTGTTCCGATTTTCAAATGTTTGGGTTGTTCTTAACTGACCAACAGTCCATAATTCTGTTTCACTTGTGTCCTTCACGAGAACTTCTCAAGAATTTTCAACTACTTTTATCCTTGTTGTATTCCTTCCAATTAGAAGTGTCAACAAGATCGCAATTACAACCAACATTCAACGCATATATCTTTAACGAATTGTGTCTAGTATAATCATGATATTCATTCGCGTTAATTGCATAACTAGCAGACTTCCTTCCGATCAGATGTTTCAACTAGTTCTCAAGTACAATTAACCTTCCACTGCATGCATATGCTTATATTTTGAACGAATTGTGCCCAACATGGAGACGACATCGATTTTGCAGAACTAGCAGTCTTATTAAAGCGAATTTAAGAATCATTAAAGTTATATTAACACCAATACATAGACCTGGTTTTTTTTCTATTTCGATAAATAACTTATAGCTCTACTTTAGGGTAGACAATCCGAACTCCATTACACTCCTAATGTGCTCGACTGTAAAATCATTAAATAGAAATTGCAAAGGTTGTGTTATTAAAACCATATAATTTCTCCGAACAAGTTGTCAAACTACAACCATGTGCAAATCGGACAAACCAAGTCAGCATATTGCCAATTTGACACCCGTTACAGCGATCGTCTTCATCGATATATAAACTGAAATTATATAAGCCTTCTCCTTATCAAGCCACATCTAAATATGTTTCATCTAACACACAGCACTATTTAGGTTGAATATGAAAAATATGCAAATATTACGACATGTGCCAAAATCCAGACGTACAAAGCGACATGTTTAAGCAATGAGTCATTCGTGAATTCAAAAAAAACCTAAGTGGTCGGGGATATAGCAATATATTGATGTTACTTGAATACAAAACCATAAAATTCGTGAACTT